TTGGGTACTGAACCTCCTTAATGGTTTGTGATTCTAACAACCTTGCAACTTCCTCCTTTACTACCTCCCGATCTTGTGGTGCTGATCTCCTTTGTTTTTTGCTTTACTGGCTTAAAATTCAGGTCAACGTTCAACTGATGACAAGCGATCTCTGGGGGAACGCCAGACATCTCATACATGGTCCATGCAAACACATCGATGTACTCTTTGAGGAGCGATACAAGGCCCTTGTGTTCCTCGACTTCCAATGATGAGCCTAGGAAAAAATATCTTTCATTGTTCCCATCTAGAGGTACTCTAGCCAGGTCTTCAATAGTTTGGTCAGTCGGATCGATGATATGATCTTCGACAGCCATTCTATCGAACTTTGGTTGTTATTTCCTTTCCCTTTCAGCTAGATCTTCATCATGCGTCTCGCTGCACCCTTTTCCTTTTACTAACGCTAAAAGGCAAGTTTGTGAACTCACCTGGTCTCCCTGAATGTTAGTTATCCCCACTGCCGAGGGAAACCTGAGCACTTGGTAGTAAGTCGACGAAACCATTTTCATCTCATGCAGCCAGGTGCGCCCCATGATGGCGTTGTATGCTAATATTGTGTCCACTACTAGGAACTCTGCCATGATTTCAACAGGTCCTATCCGGATAGGAAGTGTGACTTTACCCTTTGGAAGGACTATTTTTTCGCTAAACCCGCCCAGAGGGATATAAGCTGGCTTGAGATTTTCCTCCTTAAGGCCTAGTTTCTGAAAGAGATCTATGTACATGATCTTAGAAAAGCTTCCTTGGTCGATCGATATCCACCTTCCATCGAAGTTTGTAATTTGTAATGTGACCACGAACGCGTCATTATGCGGCTTGTGAATTCCAATTAAGTCTTGCTCAGTAAAGCTGAACATCCTTGCCGACTCTTCTAATTTCAACTTCTTGTTTTTGATCTCTAGGGACAGCCTCAACTGATAAACCTCCCTTGCTTGAGCTGCTTTTTGGATATACGCCCTTGCCGAGTTATTAGTCGCCATTTGAGGATTTGTCACCGCGTGAATTACGTTAATAACACCGGCTGCTATAGTTCGGTCTCCTTGGAGACCAGCTCCTCCCTCGGACACCTTTGCTCTCCTCACTTTCCATAAATTGGGTGAGATGCCCTGGTTGGACCAACTCTTCTAAGTGTTGTTGCAATTTTCGGTCATATGGGCCACGTCCCGGTGATATGAACATCTAAAATTTGGATTCCTTTTAGGCAGGTCACCTGCCAACTTATATTAGGCCATTTGAAGTATGGTTTTCCTTTGATCTAAGTTAGAATCCTATAAATGGGATCCTTAAACATTGTGTTCACTCCAACAAATGGAGATTTGAAAGGGAATACCTCATTTTCCCTTTTTTTGCCTGTATCTTTGTTCTTCTCTATTGGTTTTTCCTTGCCATATTGCCTCATGCCAAGCTGTTCCCTACCAGCGTCCTTTCCAAGATCATCGTCAATTTTAGCATACTTCTTGACTTTGGCCATTAGCTCTTCCATGTCCAGAGCTGACCTTCTTGTAAGAGATTGGTACAAGAGGTTATCTTTCTTCAATCCTATTTTAAAGGACGCCACAACAATCTCTGGGTTGCATGCTTCTATGTCATTCTTTGTTTCCCAATAACGATAAACGTATTCCTGTAAAGTTTCTTCACTCTTTTTTTCCACATTAGTAATGCCCCCACATCTTTGGGCTGGCAATTGTTGGTAATGAACTGAGTCGTGAATTATTCATCAAGTTGTCCCCAGCCATCCAATGAGTTTTTGGGTTGGCTGTCAAACCATTTCATAGCCGATTCCTTGAGACTACTAAGGAATATGGTGCACAACAATAGCTCATTTTCCCTATGGATCGTCATAAGTTGCATGTAGTAACAGATGTGTGAGGTTGGATTCGTCTTACCATCATACAATTTGAAGTTCGAGACTATGAACTTACTCGGGATCCTTCCTCGCTCAATCCATCTGGTAAAAGGCAAAGCTTCTGTGCCTTCCATGTAGTCCTCCGTGGCTCTTCGTGCCAAGTCCTTAGCCGATTTTTATTCGGGTCTTTTCAACTTACGGTCAAGCTCCTTGATTATAAAATGCTTCTAGGTGTCCTTGTTTCCGGTTCAATGTCATTTTCTTTAGTGTTCAATTTATGAGGAGGTATCTCTACTGCTCCTCTTGCGTCTCTCGGATCTCAGTTTTCAGCGTTCTTGATTGCGTTGGGTTTCCTCGTCATTATGTCTCCTACTAGCCTTTTTCAGCTTACTTCTAAGTTCCTCGTTCTCTCTTCTTAGATAATTTTCGTTGGCATAGAATTTTTTGAGCATCGCATCGTGTGCATCCAAGCGATTCTATAAGGACTGGACTAACTTTGCAATGGCTGGGTTTTCCCCCTTCAGTACGGAAGGATTCTCCCTGAATAGAGTCGCGCTCGTCGGGTTTGAAACTCGCCGACGACAACTTGTCGTCATCACATGGCTTGTCTTGACTTTCATAAATATCCATTCTAATACCACTATCAGGGGGAAGGGACACTTGATAATCAGGATCCAAATCCTGCTAAGCGACAGGGCTTATAGGTGATCCAATGGTGCTCTTCAATCTTGACATTGTCTTTTTTTGTTCTAATTGATGTTCTCACAGACGGTGCCAAAATTGTAAGGGGCAAAAATAGATTTACCTCTAACAAGGATTGTTGAGTTTGAGTCTTGTACCCCTGTCTTCTTCTTCTTCCTGCAAAATAACACAAATTGCCCAAGACCGAAGTGCTTCGATCGAAGACACTCCGATACTTAAGTCAGTAATTGTATATGTGAAGGGAAAATTTAGCATACCTTTTACTTCGCTTACTTGACTCTTTTTATAACGTCCTTCTTCGTTAGGGTTTCCTTGATTGATGTTGCAAGGTGGAACACCTCCTATCAATATGGGATATTTGTTAGGGATTCGCTAAAATCTCTCTAGACGCTCTCTCGATTGACTAGCTCTCCCCAAGCCATTGATTATGCTTATTTGTTACACCTTAATGCCTAAATTATAGGCATTCCCTTAGTTCGGGGCTACTTACATATGGAGCTTGGCATCGTCGAAACCGAGCTCTTGATCTCTTCACTGAGCTCTTTAGATGGTTCGATCCTGCATCATGAAGTGATAGCCCATAACTTGACTTAGCTTCTACTTTACTATTTCCTCACGTGATCTATTACATTATCGTCACATGAGCATATGACATGCTCCTAGCACATGGCGAAATTTCAAAGCCCCTTCAGTTTTCATTGTTATAAAAAAAACAAAGTCTCTCCATAGACCCAATCGAGTGATTTTGTTCAAGTAATACCCAAGCTAGTGACATAGAAAAATGTATGCGTAAGAGGATTATCAGTTGCTAAATGTTTGAACTAATCATGTTGTGCTCAGATATATGACAATTTAATTCAATTATCTGACGGATTTTATTTTCATAATTCATATTCAAAATCCTTTAAGATTTGGATATTTGATTCAATAATCAGTTCTAATCTGAACAAATAAATTAAATTATATTTTACACAAATTGCATCTAATTTCAAATATAATATTATTAAATAATAACTTAATTGCATCCATAATTCTATAATGTAGGTCGAATTATAATTAAATTGAATGTTAATACATTCATACTTAAATTCATTAAATATGATGTAACAAATTTGGATTCAATTTTATCAATAAAAAAATAAATTCATATTCGTTTAATCAAATTAAAATTCCAACTAAATTTGAATGAAAATTCAATTCATGGTTAAATCTTGGTACTTATGGTTAGGGTTGTCAACCGTGTCAATTTAAATGTAAGGGTGCAACTTGAGCGGGCCAACTCAAATTCAACTCAAGCCCAACTCAAAAAAACAGGGCTTGAGTCAGAATTTTTAATACTTGGATTGACCCTGAAAACTCCAACTCGAATTAAATTTGGACAAGCCTTGGGTTGAGTCCTCGGGTTGTCGGGTTTAACTTGAATAATAAATTTGGTTGAACCTAAATATACATAAATATATTTAATTAGAATTAATATTTATCTTCACTCTTTAGAGTCCAAACTTTTACTTCACTTCAAGTCTTTACCCATGCGCCTCTATCACTCTCAGATCCCTCTCTCACTCGTCACTCCTCCTTCTCTCAGCCACTCTCTCTCAATCGTCACTCATCTGAGTCGTCTCAGACTCTCAACCTCATTCTTTCACTGGTCAGTCCTCCTTCTTTCACTCCCTCTCTCTTCATTTATGTTTCGCTCTTTATCTCAAATCACTTGAAAAAATCAGATCCACTCTTCAAAAAATCAACCCGAATTAAGTAATCTAAGCTCAACCTGATTTTTAACTCGAAATCAGCCCGTATTAAGTAACCCGAATTCAACCCAAGCCTGCCCAAATTAAATACGGGTACAGTACTCGGGTTAAGGTAAGGTTAGGATTATAGTTAGGGTTAAAAATTATATAACCAAGGTTGGGTTATGATTGACCTCTCAACCCGCCCGAGTTGCACCCCAACTTAAATGGCTACAAGTCAGGTCTAATCGGCTTCGTGTGAAAAATCAATAAACTCATACATAGCTCAAGTAAATGAGTGAAAATCTTCAAACAAAATACGATTATTTTATTAAACGGGTTATACGCCACAAATCGTTTAAACCTGTTTAATAAACGAATCAAGTTTGAGTAACTATGAGTAACTATTTTAATCCGCCACCCGTTTACTTGAACATATTTTGAAAAATTATTATTAACTTTTTTTAAAAAAAAATTATCTAATTAATAACTACATATAATATTTTGACTAAATTTTTTTTTAAATAATTATTAATTTTATTTAAACTAATGATAGATAGATTGACATGCCTCCCTTGAATACAACTCGCTTATTAAACTGATCCAGCAGATCCACCCATTTACCACCAGAATTCGATAATACATTACTCAAACCTCCTTCACTCCATATTAATTCATATCGATTTATGTATGCGTTGAATTTTAAGATGCCTAATTATAGTTGCAATAAAATCTGATCTCCCAGATTCGAGATGGCCCCATGGACCATCGGATAACCCGCGTGCATTATCAGCACAAAAACCCTAGCACGAAGCTGACCGTTGGTCGCAAAGTCGCAGCCAACCCCTCAATATCCACTACCACAGGGCATATCATCTTCTCTCACTCACTAATTCTGCTATTTTAGCTTCCTCTAGATAGTCTGATCTGAGCTCAGAGCTCTACCTTCTCCGATTGGAGCAGAAATGGACGCCGCTCAAGAAGCCCACAACAGAGAAGCTTTCCGACAAGCCATCGTCAACACTCTCGAGCGCCGTCTCTTTTACATACCCTCTTTCAAGATCTACCGTGGCGTTGCTGGTTTGTACGATTATGGGCCTCCCGGTTGCGCCGTCAAGTCCAATGTCCTCGCTTTCTGGCGTCAGGTCAGCTCTTTCATCATTTTTCTATAGAGATTAATACATATCGATTTCTGAATCAACCTTATCGATTTGATGGTGTATGCGCTGTTAGATTTATGAATCCTCCCAAAATTTAATGCCGTGGTTGGATTTATATGTAAAGGTGTACTACATAAGTAGAAGTTTGGAGACTTTTCACCCAAATTTCTATGAGTGAACAATAATGAGCTGATGATGTGAGTCTTAGGTTGTTTTTTCTCGAAGTTTTCTTGAGTTGTTGATGTCGCCATAGAATCGCTGTCATGTTTCAAAATTACATGGTTGAAGCTTAATATTTATTGGACATTTATGGTTAGAATAGTGCATTCTGTACATTTTTTATCACATGGGTATTTTGGCAGAGGACCGCTTTTGCTTGATGAATAGCAATTCCAAGGTTCTTTACTGTTTCTGTTACTAACTGGGCTAATTGGTCGTGTAAAGGTAAACGGTCTCAGTTTTTATAGTTGATGGCCAAGCTGCATCATATATTTGTTACCATCACATGCATGGTTGTGTGCGGAGCTTGATGTCGTGGTGGGAGATACGTTAGATACTATTGTGGGATTGACTATTGTTTGATGGTCTTGTTTGGATTTTGATGCCTTAAATTCAGTTTAGAGGTCTTTTCTGTTCTTTTGGATCACATTTAATATTCATTTTGGCGACTTGGTTGTTCTTTATGATGCAACTTATTTTACCTGACACATATTGTTAGTATTTCAGCATTTTGTTCTGGAAGAGAACATGCTAGAAGTTGATTGCCCATGTGTGACACCAGAGATTGTATTGAAGGCATCGGGCCATGTCGATAAATTCACTGACCTTATGGTTAAGGATGAAAAGACTGGTACTTGTTACCGTGCAGACCATTTGCTAAAGGATTTTTGCAAGGAGAAGCTTGAGAAAGATCCTAAGATCACTCAGGAAAAGGCAGCAGAGTTCAAACACATCCTTGCCGTGTTGGATGATCTTTCTGTCGAAGAACTAGGTGCAAAGATTAAGGATTATGGTATTACTGCTCCAGATACTAAGAACCCTCTATCTGCTCCCTATCCTTTCAACCTAATGTTTCAGACCTCAATAGGGCCATCTGGTTTGAGCCCTGGGTAAGGATATCATCATGATATGTTGCTATGTACCAATTTTGTTGTTAATTTGTCATATATACCTTTACTCGTGACTGTGTGGAGCTTATTTTTGCGATGTTTTATTTTCCTGATCTGTGTGGGCCATTTTGTTTTTGTTTGCACTTTAAACTTTATTTGGTGCAGGTACATGCGCCCTGAGACAGCACAAGGCATTTTTGTGAACTTCAAAGACTTGTACTACTACAATGGGAACAAGCTCCCTTTTGCTGCTGCTCAGATTGGTCAAGCTTTTAGGAATGAGGTCACAAATCCCCTTTTAACTCTTGCGTGGTTGTGGGCTTGCACTTCTGTGGCTTTGGGTGTTTATGGAGTTCATTTTGTGGCTTGAGCTGAAATTGTTCTAACTTGCTTTCATGTCACTAAATCTTGCTCGTTGTCCTTATTGTCTCATTGCTACAGTTGTCGCTGGTAGTATTAATGGTAGCAGAGGAGAACTGTGAATAGAAGCGTAAGTGGTTGTAATTGACGCTGGGGTAGGAGAGGAAGCTGAATAAAACATATCAGTGATGGCCATGATGTCTTACACCTATGTTGCCTCGGGGGGAACAATGAAGAAGAAAAGATAATGCTTTTATTGTCTAATTCAATGAAAGACAAAATAACATGAAAAGATAATTGTGTTTTGTGAGAATGCATTGAAAGGACATGATTTAATTAGTCCACTTGGGTATTTGGAGTAGTTGGCTTCTTTGTTATAGTGATTCCTAGGCTCTTTATTATTATTTCCTTTCAGATGTAAGATTAGGTCATATGGTATATAAGGACACCATCTAGAAATAAAGAGTTGGATCTAAATCTTGTAATAAATTCAACAGATATCTCCAAGGCAAGGTCTCTTACGAGTTCGTGAATTTACACTGGCTGAGATTGAACATTTTGTGGATCCTGATGATAAGGCTCATCCGAAATTTTCTGAAGTTGCAAAATTGGAATTTTTAATGTTCCCAAGGGAAGATCAGGTGTCTGGACGATCAGCAAGGAGAATAATTATTGGGGAAGCAGTTTCTGAGGTTGGTCTGATTTCTGCCACTTTGGCAGCTCTTTGCCCTTTTTTTTTTGGGGGGGGGGGGGGGGAAACAAGATTCTGTTTGTTTAACTTCTTATTGGTTATTATTTGTTGTCCAGGGGATTGTCAACAATGAAACACTAGGCTATTTCATAGGGAGAGTGTATTTATTCTTGACGTATCTTGGTATCGACAAAGAGCGGTTGCGATTCCGGCAGCATCTAGCAAATGAGATGGCACACTATGCTGCAGACTGTTGGGATGCTGAGATTGAGTGTTCCTATGGTTGGATCGAATGTGTTGGTATCGCTGACAGATCTGCATATGATTTGCGCGCGCACACAGTAAGGGTCCAACAAGTTGCAGGGGAAAATTTTGGAAAAGATATATATTTTGAAAAATTATGTAAACGTTCTTTTGTAAGATAAATGGAAGGAGGCCGATGATCTCATTGATGTACAAATTTGTTTCACATTTTCTAATTGTTCTCATTATGAGTAATATTCTGAATTACTCACCAGATTTTGTTATCGCTCATTGCAGGACAAAAGTGGTGTGCCTCTTGTGGCACATGAAAAATTTGCAGAGCCTAGAGAAGTGGAGGTTTCCCCCCCTTCTCCATCCTCCTTACTTTCTCTCTCTTGTGTTGAATAGTTTAATGAAGTGTTTATTCTATCCCCATCGGTAAATCCACAATATTATGTTGTTCCAGAAACTTGTTATAACTCCAGTGAAGAAGGAGCTGGGCCTTGCATTTAAGGGTAACCAGAAGATGGTGGTTGAAGCATTGGAGGTAAAGTACGATAGTAGAAGTGTGTATTACTTATGTTTTGGGCGTAGGTACTGGGTATTTATTAGTGTGGCCTCGTGAAGGTGGGGTGATTTTCTAGGAATTTTGCGCATTCACTGTTACTTATATTTCATTAGATATTCTTGAAAAAGGATGAAATGTTTCCCTTACGTGTAGGGACAACATTTTTCTAAGAGGTTTGCAATTATTCATAGAAGGAAGGCGGGTGTGATGCATATAGATATCAGAGCCTCTGCTTTGTGAAATACTGAACTGTGCTTTGTTCCTGTGTGTATGTAGGCTATGGGGGAAAAAGAAGCTATGGAAATGAAAGCCACTTTGGAATCCAAGGGAGAGGCTGAGTTTCAAATTTGTACTCTTGGAAAGGATGTAACTATAAAGAAGAACATGGTTACCATATCCAAGGAAAAGAAGAAGGAACATCAAAGAGTTTTCACGCCGTCAGTGATTGAGCCATCTTTTGGGATTGGAAGGATAATCTACTGTCTATATGAGCATTCTTTCTACACAAGACCTAGTAAAGACGGGGATGAACAATTAAATGTTTTTCGTTTCCCTCCCCTGGTAGCACCTATCAAATGCACTGTATTCCCACTTGTTCAGAATCAACAATATGAGGAAGTTGCTAAAAGCATTGCCAAATCATTGACTGCAGCTGGAATCTCCTACAAGATTGATATAACAGGTAAACATCTTTAAGAATGTGCTTGCATTTTTTGCATGTATTCATCAATGATCAGGCCAACCCTATATTTTGTTATTGCAATGTACATATCATTAGAAATTGTAAGGCCAGACTATCTGGATCAGTAAAAGGCTTTATGTATGTCTATTGATGGATTGGGGATTTGAGTTGATATGACATGACTGTTTAAGTTGGTTTGATAAAGCTCTGGTCAACACAAACTTGATGGGCTGCTATAGTTCTACAGGGTTGTAACTGTGTTGAGTGGAGCTGAGTAGTGGACTGCTCAAGCTCAGCTCAGTTGAACTACATGAGAACACAAGCTCAGCTTGACCTTGCAATTGAGTTGGTGAGCCAATGATGCTGGACAAGTGTGTAGAACCTCTGATAGATGTTACGGTGCCCAAATTGACATAGAATAGCTAGTAAGAGAGGTCATTTGTGGTTGACTGTCTGTGGTTTTGTTTTGTGGCTTCGATTTTGGTGAAGATATGGGGCGTTAGGAATTGTCAAAGGTGTAGAGTTTCAGGGTTTAATTAGGCAGGAAAGGTTAAGTTTGGGGTCTGCTCTCAATGCTATGGACACCAACTCAAGTGGTTTTTGGTTGGCTTAGTCCGGAATGGAGAAAGGGATTTACCGAAAAATGGATGAATAGTTGTGGATATTAAGTTGCGGTTTTGAGGGTTCTCAATAACTTCAACACGGCCTTACTAGCATTTTTCAATACATTTGCATGCACGGTTAGTTCAGTCTGGTTGAAGGCTATGCTTCTGAGACGAGTTCGGGTTTGCTACAAATCCAAATAGATGCAAACCGGGACCTCCCACTCGTCATTTGTTTGTCCCAATTTTCCTTTTAAGTATGAAGCATCCACGTGCTGAAATTATATAGAAATTGAGCATGTAAGACACAGTGTACACTTTTCCATTTAGAATTACTCAGTTAATTGATTAATGCTCATGGGAAGGAATACGTGTTGGCAATATGCATACTGTGATGCCTACCAATAAGATAACAAAGCAATTCATTTACTTATTGCAGGTACTTCAATAGGGAAGCGATATGCAAGAACAGATGAACTTGGGGTTCCTTTTGCTATTACCGTGGATTCAACATCCTCAGTTACAGTCCGGGAAAGGGACAGCAAGCAGCAAATTCGCGTGAATGTGGAAGAGGTGGCATCTGTAATTAAGGACGTGACCGATGGACCGAGCACTTGGGGTGATGTGCTGTGGAAGTACCCTACTCACTCATCGTGATGGCCAGATGAGTGAACTTGAGAGGCTTTAGCTGGCTTATCAGCACTCCATTGGTAACCAAATAGTGTCAAGTTGAGTTCTATTATACATCAAGATGCTCTAATTTTTGTCCTCAAACTCATTTTACACTTTCAGGTTATGGTTGTTCAAATACTACTGGCACGATTTAATATTAATCTGTATGCAGAATAGTGCAACATGTTTACAGGATGTTATCTCAGCTTGAAATTCAGTCTCATATATATAGTTTATTATTATGAATTTAAAGCCCGACCAAACGAAGGGCATGGGGCTTGGTTACTAAGTTCTGCAGGAATGATAAATAACTAGGGACTTGAATCTCATGGGCAATTTTATGATCCAAACCAAATTAATCGAAGCCTTTGCTGTGTCCATTTTCGGTATGAATGTTAGTGGCTCTTGTCGACAATGGCACCATTCAAAAACTAATGGGTCATGTTAGGAGAGACGATTTAGAAATGGTTAGGGTCGATAATTGTCTTGAGCATGTTGAACTCATTTTTTTAAATTAATCTAAAAAATTTGTTGGAGTTCAGCATTAAAAAATGAGCTGAGCTCAAATTGAACAAAATTTGAATAGTTTGATTATTTTACGTATAAATGTGTCGATCTTTGCGAGGGTTCAGTTTTTTAGATTTGTTTTTTAAGTAAGTTTAAATTTTATTCCCGCGAGGCATAGCTGGTGGAGCTTGGTGATAACCGGGGATTCATGATGGAAAATGGAAATGGTGTCAATATCCCGGCCTTGGCACGGGGCGTAATCATTCACTAATGTGTGTCCAAAAAATTCAATAACCCCTTATCCATGCTTAGTGGACTAAACCGTATTGCTGACACCGTTAACAGAAAGTGTAAAATGACCTTACTACCCTCTCTCCTTCTTCCCAGCAAAACCCCCATCTCCTACTCCTTATGTAAAAACCATTACCAGCACAGGGGAAGAAAATTTACTCCCACCATTTCGTATCTGCCACCATTCAAATTAAGGCTCCCAAAAGAATTCATGCGTATGTTCTTGAACTCATAACAAATTAAGGCTCATTCCCCATTCCCCATTCAAAGAATTCATGCGATTCCTCAAATTAAGGCTCCCAAAATTTCCCATTCAACATCATTCAAAAGAATCAGTAAGAAAATGGAAAACCCTTATAATCAGTATGAAAAGGATTACTAAACAGTAAGAATATCACACACAGTCTCTGGGTCAACAAGTATAATGGAAAACCCTTATATTCAGTATAAAAGGGGCGTAGAAATTCACAGCAATCAGTAAAAATTAGTAATAAAATTCAATAAATTCAGTAACTAATCAGTAAAAAAAATTCACAGCAAATTCTTGTTAAAATTCCAGTAGATTCACTAAAAATTTTCAGAGCAAAACTTTAGCGTAGAAATTTAAAAAAAAATTAGCGTAGAAATAGGAAAGAGAAAGTTTGTGGGGTGGGTTGCCGTTTCTGGGCAGGAAATGCCTGGCGGCTACACCGATCTCCATTGTGATTCCGATGTCTTGGGATTGAACGCCGGAGTCGGGATCCACTGATGCAGGAACGACGTCGTTACCCACCAGTCTTTGAACTCGACCATCTTTGTAGACTTGAATGAAGGGAAGACACTCGTGGACTATTTCGGCTGTACTTGAAGCCATTACAGAGAGAAAATCAAGAGAAGTGTTTAGGCGGAGAGAGAGAGACATCGGACGCAGGTGATTGTAGTTTTTTTTTTTTGGGAGAATTACACTCATATCCCTTGAAATTTGACACTTAATCAATCAAAATATCTGATATTTAAAATATTACACACAGACCCTTAAAATTTATACGCGTGTAATACTTAGACCCCTATGCTCTGTTTGATCTGATAAAAAAATAAAAAATTGGAAAGATAGAAAGTTAGAGGGATAAATAAAACATCATATTTGGTAAGGAAAAAAAATATGAATGATGAAAAAGTTGATGAATTAATATTCCTTCTAACTCACCAAAATTAATCCCTCTAAAATATGAAGAAAAATGGATAAAAAGTTAATTATTTGTGTTAAGATGTATCTTATTTGTCTACTAGTCATTACCCTTACCTAAAGACATTATATTATTTATAAAATTTCAACAAACAACGATAGAATGTTTTAATAATTTCAACACATAACAATTAGATTGGTTTTGAACATTTTTTGTTGGTGAAATTGATATCTTTTTTTTTTTTTTGTATTGGTCACCAAATTTTTTTAATTATTAATTAGCTTGAGTTTTGGATTTTTTTTATTTTTATTTTCTAAAAACTATAGATTTTCATACAGTAGTGATTTATTTTTAGTATGAATAATAAATTGATGATTTTATTTATGTATGATAAAAATAATTTAAACTTTATCGATTGATAAGAAGTAAGAAGTAAACATCAATCATCGGTACTAAGATGCGTAATAAAAAGATCTACTTACGATATACTCTAAGTATGAATCATTTTGTAATAAGAATGATGAAAAATTATATACTAAGTATATAATGGTTTTTAATGAAATATTATACAAAAGGTATTGAAAAAATCGATATACCAAATAACTTACATGTCCAAAAATGGTGACATTGCCTATTTGGATACTGATTTTTGTGTTGTAGTGATGGTGTGTATGAGATTTTTGGGGTCAACATAAACTGGCAAACCTTGAAAAAAAAAGTACTAAACTTAGAGATATTATGTATTTTATGTGTGTTTAATAGAATTTTTTTTTATTTTATGCAAAATTTTATCGTAAAATTAGAAATTAAACAAAATCAACCTAAATCAAGGTATAAACAATACACTATCAACATATAACACTTAACAACAATTAGTTAATAACAATATATCCACAACTAAACCACACCATCATTAAAAATTAAAAACAACATATTATTGCCAAAGCATACACTACTAAACTAATACGAAAAAATTATCAATATTTATAAACATGCATAATGGTTAAACATTTGTTGACTGCAAAGTTATAAAAATTAAACATAAAATATTTGATAACTACCCAGTTATAAAAATTGAACAAAAAAAATAATTAACATGAAATAATGAGATGTTTTGCCATTAACAAAATTTGTAATAGATATTCTTTTAACTAATCATTTATGACAATCAACAATATGTTTTGTTCATTTTCAATAAAAATTAAATTTTTGAGAACTATAAGTTTTCATGTAATTTTGAGCAAAGTAGTGATTAGGTATGAATAATATTGCGAAAGTTTTTACTTATGGATTGAGTATTTGTATTTTTTGTTTGTGTGGAAGTGGTGATGACGATTAGATTGATTTTGAATTTTTTTTTGTGTAATTGGTAATACTTGTTATTTTTTATTGGTGATTAGATTGAGTTTTTTTTTTCTTTTTTAAGAATTATAGGTTTTCATATAGTAGTGATTTATTTTTGGTATGAATAATAACTTTATGATTTTATTTATGGATGTATATTTATACTTTTTATTTGCGTGAAAGTGGTGATGGTGATTAGATTGGTTTTGAATCTAACTACGTTATTGTGTATATATATATATATATATATATTTAGAGAGAGGAGATGAGATAGTGTATTTAAAACGTCTAAGAGATTAGAAAGAGAGTTATATGAGAGATAGGATTGTTAGAGTTAAGTCCAATTATGATCGTTAGATCAATATTTATGAGATGATCTGAACGTTGTCTATTGGATGTATTTATGTTTTGTCTCAAAACGATCTGGACCTCTTTTTGTTTTCAAAATTCAAACTTAGTTCTACTTTATTTTATATTAATAATTGTTTGTGCCTGAAAGCACAGAGTAACAAAAAAAATTGTGGTTAATTGCCAAATCAAAATAATTGGTATAACACATAAAATTGACTATTCAACAATACTACTACCAGCAATATATTACATATAGGTATGACTATATACGTGAATATCAAACTAAAATAATTAGTTTAACACATAAAATCTCAGGAGTTAATATAAACTAACTTTTATCTTTAAAAAAATTTCGATAAAGTTCTCCTTGAAAATATGATCTAATTGATAATATCAACCTGCGTGTACAACTCATAATCAAACCTTTCTGTAAATAAACACTACATTAAATCAATAATCTTGTCACATCACGCTAATATCGTTATTACCATTGTTTATCAACTGCTGCAATTTAATAATCCAAAACATCTAATACAAAATGAATAAGATACAAATTATAACTAAACTAACACTAAATTGAGGTTAATATCAATAATTAAATACATTCACTCATTCCGTAGAAGCTAAATAACCTGTAAAATTAATATATTGTGCCTCATAGTTAGTTGTCATGCCTAAAGGTACTTTATAATACAAAAGAAATCATTAATTAAAATCCATTAATTATTAATTAAAATTATCAATTAATTGAGAAGATTGATTTTCAATTTGTGAAGTTTGAAATCACCTCTATCTTATTAGTATAGATGAGATAGAGAGAGAAAGAAAGTTAATAAGAGATAGGAGTCTTAAAAATTTTTGGCATGAGAACCGTCGGATTAATAATCATCAAGAGATTTGAGCAACGAAAAATTAAAAATAAAGAAATATAACTACTTTAATATATATATATATATATAGAGAGAGAGAGAAAGAGAAGATGAGATAGTGTGTTAAAAACGTGTAAGAGATGAGAGGAGAGAGAGTTATATGAAAGATAGAAGTGTTAGAGTTAAGTTCAATTATGATCGTCAAATCAGTATTTATGAGATGATCTGAACCGTTTTTTATGTTGAGATTACATTGTTTGTTGTCTGTTAGATGTGTTTATGTTTTGTTTCAAAATGATCTAGACTTTTTTTTGTCTTTGGATTCAAACTTAGCTCTACTTTATTATATAAATATATCTTTTGATATATACATATATTATGTATATATTAATTTCATATAAAAATACAATGATAAAATATGTATGCATGTATATATATATATATATTAACAAATTTAAAAAATAAATCTAAAAATTAAAAAAAAAAAATTTCATCTTAATTAAGAGTGAAAATTTTCGACTTAACACAATGACACCACTCGAACTCAACTCGAATTTTATGACACGAACTTGATTATAATTAGGCACGAACTTGAAAATGATCTGAAACGTAAACAAGAAATATAAAAGGTTCATATTAAGTTCAACCAGTTAAACTCAAAATTAACACCATCAACCGATTTATTTAAAAATAAACATTTTCTTTATTTTCTCGTTTGTATTGTAATACGAAATTGACATATTTAATTAGTATTATAGACATAAAATATTAATTATTTGTAACTATTTATTAAACATTGACATAATTATTATATAAAAAAGATATTTTTACTTATTATTATTATATTTATTTAAGTTAATTTTTAGTTTGTAGAACAAATATTAACATGGATTCAATTAAGTGAAAATAAAATATTAGAGTTAAATTTTTTATTCAAAGTTTATATGGGTTAACAAGAATACGACACGAAAATAAACAGACCAACTCACAACTCGACAAGACATAATTATTTAAATAAGTTGAGTTAGGTTTGACTAATGTTCAACACAAATCTTTAATGACTCAACACGACTCGATTGTCACATCTAATTTTAGCCAGCACCAAAAAAAAAAAAATTAGTCATTTTTATTTTTCATCCATCCAACCAAAAACAAATGAAGGAAAATGTATCATTTTTCTACTTTTCTTCCTTGAATGATAGAAAATGTATTCCTCATACTTTCTACCATTCATACTGTCCATCATTCCTACCAAACGAAGCATTATCGTCAATATCAGCTAATATATCCGTTAGTAAATTACACTCAGACCCCTTGAAATTTATAAACATGTAATACTTAGATAGCTCAAGTTTAAAATGTTATATTTAAACAAAAAATACTCCAATTAAAGATAAAATATTAAATATTTTAAATTTTACAACCAAAATTTATGTTCTATTATGACATTTATTGAAATAAAATCAAAAATAAAAATTTAATTTTTTCTTTAAAAATCATAATTAGTATACAATTATATTATCTATTGAAATTTAGTTTAATCGTTTAAACGACTAAATTAAACTACCAAATTATCCCAATTAAAGTTAAAAGATATTGTGTTTATTATAGTTTGACCAATTACTTGAAATTTTAGTTTTATGCTAATAAATAGCATAATTATATACTAATTATGATTTTTTAAGAAAAAAATAAATTTTTATTTTTGATTTTATTTTAATAAATTACATAATATAATATGAATTTTGGTTGTAAAATTCATATTCTATTATGAATGACTTAAATTCCTTGTTTGATTTTTTAGTTTTATACCAATAGATAGTATAATTATATACTAATTACGATTTTTTAAGAAAAAATTAGATTTTTATTTTTGATTTTATTTCAATAAGTGATATATTAGAACATGAATTTTAGTTATAAAATTTAAAATATTTGATATTTTATCTTTAATTTGAATATTTTTGGGTTAAGTATAAAATTTTAAATTTGAAGTGTTTAAGTATTATACTCCTATAAACTTCAGAGGGTCTGAGTATAATTTACTAATAGACATTGACGATAGGGGTCTAAGTATTACGTGCATATAAACTTTAAGGGATGTTCATGTAATATTTTTAGTATCAAGAGATCTAAGAAATTAAATGACAAATTTTAGGGATTTGAATGTAATTCTCACGAGTTCCAACTAGTTAGGATAGTTTGATCATTTAAAAATGTTTGTAGGCAAACTCTCACTTCTAGAGCATCAGGAGCACGTTCAGCAAAATTAGATGAAAAATGTAACTTCACAGTTTAGTCTATTAATTATGTGAGGATTATGTGGTGGTTTCTAAAATACAGGGAGGTAAAATACATTTAGAGTATAATACAATGGGTAAAATGAAATTTATCCTATTATATAAGTGGGGTTTATTTTATTTAATGGTTAGTTCTTTCAACATTTACATCACATAATACTAATAAGGTGGTACATATTGTAAAACAAGTAAATTTGTGTAGGTACAAATAACTAACTCAAATAAATTAAGAGACAGAAAAATAATTATGAAAGTTAGAGAGAAATGAGAAGATATATATTATGCGGTGTGTTTTTCATTCAAAAGTGCAAGGTTTATTTATAGGCAAAACAATCAGTCTTTTTGTATTGATGGTAGAAGAATTGAGGACTCTCGTATCCATTAAATGTGGTAATTATTTGTGTATTGTATGGTCATGTCCAAATATTATTTGGTACTATTTATGTATAGTGGTCATCCAAATTAATTGTATTTACAATACTCCCCCTTGAAAGAATATTTACATATCACTAGAGTCAAAAATTCGATTTTGATAAAATTGTTGGAATTCTAAGCACTGTCTCGCTAAAAATCTTGCTAAGTAAAACCCGGTGGAAAAAACATTAGCGAAGGAAAAAAGAGTACATGCCTCCTCCTATTGAAGACATCCATTCAAAATGATGGTTGTTTAGCTTGATAGATCTTTGAGATGCCGCATTTTGATTTGGTTCACCAATTTTTAAAATGTAGTCGGTAGGAGTGCTTTGGATAACTATGGGGTGAACAATCAATTGAATACATTAAATAAAAGACTCAACTACACCATTTTTTATGTGAATGTGTACAACTGATGTAGTCTCTCATATTTATTATTTTTTATTACGAATTTAAAGTCGGATCGAATGGAGTGGACGAAGGTAATAAACATGAATGGAACTTGGTCGCGAAGTTCTGCAGGAATGGTAACTGGGACCTGAATCTCTTGCGCAATTTTAGGATCCAAACCAAATTAATCGAAGCCTTTGTTGAGTCCCCTTTGGATATGAAGGTCAGTAGGTTTAGTCTGCAATGGCACCATTCAAAAGCTAATGGGTCAAGACAAGATACAGTTTATAAAGGCTATTGAACCCCCTCCCCCCACAGTCCCACACACACAACAACAAAAAAGTGGCGGAGATGGAAGCTACGGCGCTGCCATATTCCGCAAGGCATAGCTTAGTGGGCATGCTCCGGATAGACAGCCGGGGTTGCGTGATGGAAATGGTGTAGATGTCACGCCCTTGTTGAGCTGCTTTATTTACAAGCAATTATATGATATCAGTAATGTCATGTTGTGTAATTGTTTGGTAATAAGTGAGTAAATGAGTCTAAATAATTCAATAACCACCTATTCCGATGTATTTTATCTAATTCTTAATTTTTTTTATTTAACGGTTTTATCATGTGGTATTGTTGATTGAAAGTAATGATATATAATTTACTCGACTATAAAAGGCTAGTTAGTAGTATGGGTCAAAGAGGAAACATTCAAATGGAAACAAAAGATAATTTACATAGAGAGACAAACGAAAGAACATTAAATCTTGAAGTAATATTTGCATTCACAAAATTTTTATTAGGTGATGGAGAATCATTAGATTAGAATTACGTCAAATTAGGTATAAGATGACCTCACTAAATTCATATGAGTTCAAGTAAGTGCATTTCCTATCCTTACTCAAATTTAACTTTGAGTAAAAATAATAAAAAAAATAATTTTTAGTCTTTTTTTTTCAAACTCATACCAAATGAAAGGAGATTTAAATTTCTGATTGTTATATTTTACCTTCATTTAAATTTGAGTTTTTTTATTAAAATTTTTGTATCAAATAAAACTTTTACTTGGCCCTATCAATAATGAAGGCTTGTGCGACATTCAACATTAAGACTCTCCAATCTAAAAATACCAACCACAATTTCAATGATTATATGAATACGTTTGACCGTGAAAATATACAAAGAGAGTGAAACTTCCATTACTTAGATTTAGGGCGATAGGGTGCACCCCTCAATCAATAGGTCAAAAGGTAAAAATATAGTTCTAATTTGATCTCTAATCTCTAAGAAAATCAGGGTCTTTTTTGCAGAATAGCGTCAACTAAATTTGAGTAAAAATTTAACTAAAGAATGGAGATGGCCTAAGTAAACATGTGTGCAGCGTGAACTCCCACCTAATTCAACAGCTTTTGGGATTAACCTCAATCCCAACACTGATGCTATGGAAAACGAAGATTGGACTAAGGACAATTTTAGAGGAGGAGAGGGAATGGGAGACAGTCCAAATAGAGTCCATACATGGCCCACTTAGGGGAGGCTGATCGGCCCAAAACATTTGCATCATGGAGACGAGTATGAATCAGTGTTTTAAAATCCGGCCTGGACCCGAGGGTCGACCCGGTGCACCGGTGAACCGGAGTTTAAACCAGGCCAGTTTTGTTATTGGATTGCTTGAGCAAAAGAATCGGACAAAACCCTCTGAACCGGCCGGTTTTGTAACAAAATATATGAACCGAACGGTTTAAAACAAACCGAACGGGTTGCTTCTAACCTTATAAAACGAAGTTCTAGGCATTTTTGCCAAATTCATTTATCGTTGCCTCTGTTTCTCCTCGTCTCCAACGAGGCGACTGGTCACCCCACGCCACCCCTCCCACCTCTCTCTCTCTCTCTCTCACACACACACACAGAGCACAATAGCACATCACTCAATCGAAGACTCGAAGTGCCTAGATTCTTCGATTCAGATTCTTCAACTTAGCTCTTCGACTTAGATTCTTCGACCCCATTCTTCGACTCACAGGCTCACAGCACTACAACAGATATTCGGCTCTTCATGTATTGCGTTTCTCTCTCTCTCTCTACACATTCAATTTTTCTTCAAGAATTAGGGTTTTACTTTCTACTTTGATATGATCAATGATCTCTGAGAACTCTTCAATTTTTCGATTGAAATTTGTGTATCACTTGTTTTTTGCAGGTATGGCTTCATTTTTGGCCGAGAATCTGCTTCTACTCGAAAACCCTCTCCTCCTCATTCTTCAATTGATAACTTCCTTGCTTCTCTCTACTTGCTAGTCTACTTAAGTCACTCCTCAGGCTCTGGGAACCTCAGGTTTTAAAACTTCGGAACTCCACGTATTCCCCGATCAATCCTGCCTAGCGATCCACCTCCCAGGTTCGTTATTTCCTACGTAGTCTCTATGTTCAATCTCGTTATACATGTATTCATGTGTATTGGTCTCAAGCGTAGAGTTTTAATAATGATATGATTAGATTTTGGGGTTATGAAACATCTTCAAAAGCTTGGGTTGTTTATGTTTTAAGACTACTTTAAACACTGAGAATCTACAATCTTTGGTTTAATGAGCGAAATTAATATTGTTTTTTTTTTTTTAACTTTTTGTGGTCAATTATTGTGCAATCGTTTGCCATTAATCTCATTTTAGGGTTTTTGTTGTGGTTTATATTGATGATTGGTGCTTCATAGCTTCATCCTGAATGGTTGTTTATGGAAAGTTAATTTCTTGACCAGTTATGTATGAGAAACTCAATTCAATTATAGGGTTGACTTAAAAAAAATTAATTGTGGGTTGTTGGTTTTGATGTTTAACTTTACAAGTTGTATATGAATTATTGGATACATGTTTGATGATTTTGGGGATTTTTATTTGATCTAATATACATTAAACATTTTATTTTCATAATTATTGTAATTTTTTAACCTATTTATAATTATTTTTTATTTTTTTATTAAATGACTGGTTCGACCAGCGACTCAACGGTTGAACCACTGATCCATTGATCCGGTCTCTTCTCTGGGTTGATGTCCGGGCCGGGTTTTAAAACTATGGTATGAATTATCTCTGTTCTCTTATGTTAGAAGCTCTGGCTATGGCCGCTAAGATCAGACTTGTCAAATGGCTCTCAGGGAATAAATGATGAGTTGATGACCCAGTAGAGTACAAGAAAGAAGATGATGAGACTTGCAGGGAAGAGGGTATCTTCCTCTTTGCCTCCATTGCTTTTGTACCATACTGCCAATTTCACCACCAAACATGCTCTCTCTTCCCCATCAGAATCCCATTACTCGGATACCGGTTAGTGGCCTATCCTTTTCCTTCCTCCAGTTTCATTATTTCTCTTTTTCTTAGTTTTCCTTGTTATTAATAGCCATTTTGATAGAGACTAAGGTGCTTGTGGTGGTGGTGAACTGAAATTGCATTGAACTCTTTTGTTCATTTAACAGTTTGTTTGTTTTTTTTTTTTTTTTTTTTACATTTCTTGGTCTGGCCAGTGGTGCTTGAATTTTCAAGATGTTGCGCTTATTATATCCTTCTGAAGTTTTGTTGTCTAGGCATCTATCTAATATGCTTTTCTCACTTTATTTGCAAAAACATTAAAAGAGGAATGTGAAGTTTTATTGCCTATCAAAATTTTGCATGGTCAAAAAATCAATTTTGCCTACTTTACGTAGTGTTTTCTCTAGTGCAATTGTTAAGCATTTATATATATCATTCTTATCTAATTGCCATTTCTCAGAGGAAAATTCGATAGTGTACAACCATATGTGAACCTCTAATATCATGATACAAAAGACGAAGGTATCGGCAGCCTGTGTCTTTTACTTCCTCAATATTACCTGGTTTAGGTCTTCTAACTAGGATATCGTTTCAACAATTACGACAGTTTTAGTTACCCTTCCATTACATTACAGTGAACACCTTGTCAAAACTGTTTTGCAGAAATGGCTCTTGTCTATTTTAAAGTGATTCTGCTTATGGAACAATTCTTTCAGATCATAAGATGCTCTTCCACGCTCTTGAAGCATGCAAACTCTCTTTCAATTTAAGAACTGCAGTTGAGATACACTCTAGAATCATTAAGCTGGGGTATGGAACACACTCATCTCTTGTATCACTGCTGATATCAGTGTATGTGTCTTGTGATCACCTTGATCTTGCATGTCAACTGCTTAATGAATTCCCGTGTTGGGATTTTGATCTGGTCTCTGCCAATATGATCATCACAAGTTTTATGAAGGTTGGAGAAATAGACATTGCCCAGAGGGTGTTTCATAAAATGCACACTCAAGATGTGGTCTCATGGAACTCAATGATTGGGGGTTATGTCAGAAATGCATGCTTTCAGGAGGCATTGGATATGTTCAGGAATATGTTCAACTCAAACATAGAACCAGACGGATTCACTTTTGCATCCATTGTAACTGGATGTGCACAACTTGGAGCTCTTGATTATGCTAAGTGGGTACATAATTTGATGTTTGAGAAAAGAGTTGAACTAAATTACATTTTACGTTCTGCACTAATAGACATGTATTCAAAATGTGGAAGAATTGAAATAGCAAAAGCAATATTTAACAGTGATCGACATACTGATGTGTCTGTTTGGAATGCGATGATTAATGGGCTAGCAATTCATGGCCTTGCTTTCGACGCAATTGCAATATTCTTGATGATGGAGGTGGAAAATATTTTACCTGATTCTATAACTTTTATGGGAATTTTAACAGCATGTAGCCATTGTGGGCTGGTTGAACAAGGTCACAAGTATTTTAATCTCATGAAAATGCATTTCTCAGTTGAGCCACAACTTGAGCATTATGGAGCGATGGTTGATCTCTTGGGCCGAGCTGGGCTCCTAGAAGAAGCTTATGCAATGATTAAGGAAATTCCAATGGAGCCCGATGTTGTTATATGGAGGGCATTCCTCAATGCTTGTAGAATTCACAAAAATTCTAAGTTGGCTGAAGTTGCCATTGCAAAAATATCACATCTTGGTAGTGGTGATTATGTATTGTTGTCAAATATCTATTGTTCTATAAGGAAATGGGAAAGTGCTGAGAGAGTCAGAGATATGATGAAAAAGAAAGGAGTCCGCAAAAAGGACGGAAGAAGTTGGATTGAATTGCGTGGTGCCATTCACCAATTCAAGGCAGGTGATCGATCTCACCCTGAAATAGAAGGCATATACAAGTTGTTGGCAGGACTGATCTGTCGAGCCAAAATGGTGGGATTTGTCCCTATGACGGAATTAGTTTTGATGGATACATCTGAGGAGGAAAAGGAGGAAAATTTGATTTATCACAGTGAAAAGTTAGCGTTGGCCTATGGCATCCTAAAATCAAGCCCTGGAACTGAAATTCAGGTTTCTAAAAACCTCCGAATTTGCCCAGACTGCCACTGTTGGATGAAAATTGTCTCGAAGGTATTATACAGGGTGATAATTGTGAGGGACCGGGTTCGATTTCATCGGTTTGAAGGTGGTTTATGTACTTGTGGAGACTATTGGTAGTCAATTTTGAGGGGTGCTTACATGGTAGAGATCTGGTATCATGGAAGTTAGAATATTAGAATGTGATATTTAACACCATGCTAAGGGGGATATTAGGTTCTTCTATCTATAATCGATATGGATTTAGATGTGTCTAATCTAGTCTTTTGCTTGTCAATTGGAGAGAAAAAATTGGGCTTAGTTTCAATATTGGGGTTGTCACGTTTGTCTGCGACTCAAGACAGCATATTCCTTGAAAACTTCTTGGCAAATTATAAGGGCTTTTTTACACATCTGAGACCCGATGGTAATTTGCAAATACACTTTCTTCAAGTATTGCGGTAATTAGTTTTCAACTGAAAAATGGAAATATGTTTAGCTTCATTCCAACCCCTACTGAATGAAGCCATTATTTAATATTGCGGTAGTGTAGGCTTAGTCAATGTGGAAGAAATATGATGATGATAATTGGCGATTGTTGTGGTGGATGCACAAGTAGGATGGAGTGGCTACAGTTTTTTTGAACCGAATTCGATTACAGAGTGTCTTTCTATGTATATGGCAATACTGTTGAAGTCAAATGGAACTACAAATTATCAAAGGACAAGGTGTGTTCATAACTATGCATTGCCACTCGTAATTCTAAGCATTTTCTTGGTCTTACCAAGTCTTCGTTATCTACTAATGTTGATTTTTCATTTTATTTTATTTTGCAATTCAGATTACATACAAGCACACTAAGCTTGCCCTGTGGCTGAGTTTCAAAAGAAACCATGTTAGTTTGAATAACATATGATACTAGAGGCTTTTTAAAAAGAAAAAATAATTTGAGCTGAATTCATTTCACACACAATTTTTGGTAAAAGATCATGATGTAGTTCTCCCAAATACATATCTATTGCTTCCTCAGCATCCCACCCCCTCCCCCAAACAAAAACACACCCTTTTTCTTTTTAGAGAATATAGTTTTCCTTTTCTTCTTGATTACCAAATTCTCACTGGTATCACAGTGTACCTTGAAATATTGTAGACAAAATTTTTGTCAATCTTTTACCTATCCAAGATTTTAACCTCTACCTTTAAGAACTTTCCTGCATGCAGGATGAGATAAGTTTTCCTTTATACATCTACGTATGCTAAATGATCATGGGCTGGTTAACATTTTATGGTAAAATTGGTTGGTTGACCAATAAGCCTATAGAAATTGGTCAATGTGTTAATACGCAAAATGATAGGACAACATGCATGTCCCTGTTGCCAAATCATGTATGGTGAGTTTTTTGATAATCCTTTGTTGCCTGAATGTCCAAGGTTTTGCATTTAAATCACAAGTCCTGACTCCTGAGTCATGAATGGCTTTTATTAACATCTGACCTCCCAGTAGTTGGGGGCTTTGAAGAACTTTCCATGTTACTATTTCTGTTTTGTTGGACTTGTTCATGTTACTACCTTTTTTCATGTTACCATTTTTTATTAAACATGTTACTAATAAACATGTTATTGTTAATATTGAATGTTAATATTTTTTCGAAAATATCAATATCCAATGTTATTATTTTTTGTTGAATATGTGACTATTGTTTTTTTTTTCAAATATTAAAATACAATGTTACTATTTTTTATTTTTTGAATGTTACTATGTTTTTGTGTTTAAATGATACTATTTTTTTGTGTTTAAATTATACTATTTTTTGTGTTTGAATGTCACTATTTTTTGTTTTTAATGTTAATATTAAATATTATTTTTTTTTTCTGAAATATCAATATTCAATGTTACTATTTTTTATTGAGTATGTTACTATTATTTTTTCAAATATTAATATACAATATTACTATTTTTAATTTTTTTATGATACTATTTTTTGTGTTTAAATAGTATTATTTTTTGTGTTTAAATGATATTTTTTTATATTTGAATGTACTATTTTTTATTTTTAATGTTACTGTATATATATGAGAGAGATATAGTCCTAACATATATATGGATATAGATAGATACAGGGTTCAAAGTATCGGCCGAGTTCGATACGACTCGGCCATTGACGATACGATAACGATACACGAATCGAAAGATTGACGAATTTAACTTGTATCGGCGATATCTCGGATGTCTCGGTCGAAATCAAAGGTGTCGTTGAAAACTCGGTTCAACTCGGGCGACTCGACTCGGAATCCTTCCGAGTCGAACACGATAGTAGAAAAATCCCCAAATCTGACCCACACCTCTGCAAAAGTTTATTAACACTCCTTCATTTTTCTAAAAACTGAACAAAACTTCAAAAAAAAAAAGGGATGGGAAATAAAGCAGACCTACTACCAGACTACCCGTTGAAAGACTCGACACCCATGTGAAAATTGCAGAAATCACATGAACCCTAAGACAACAAACCCCTATAAAAAACTAAGATTACTACCATACCTATAAATCGAACCCTGAAGAATCTTTTTCATCTGGTCTTGTGTGTCAATCTTGTTCGATTCTTTGTTATTCTTGTTCAACTCTTTGTTGAAAGGATCTTCTTTGATTCTTTGTTGAGACGATTTTCTTTGGTCTATATCGGTGAGGAACTGCACTGTGCATCTCTCTGTCTGCACTCTGTTACCGTGCGACTCTGGGAAGTGAGAAAGACGAAGAACGTAAAATAGGTAGGAAAAAAAATTGATTTTTTTTTTACGGAATGTTTATATATTTATATTTGCCTTAAAAGTAACACAAAAATAGTAGCTCAATTTGGTGGTGTTGCAAATTGAGTTGTTGCAAGGTCCCTTGTTCGATTCCACGAATACTCCAACATGTAGTCTAGTTTTTTTTTTTTTTACTAAGTGTTTATATATTTATATTTGTCTTAACATAACATAAACGTAGTAACTCAATTGGGTGGACTTGCATATTGTAATGTGTTTTAGGTCATTGGTTTGACTCCTCCAAGACCCCAACACATTGTTGCCTTTTTCTTTTTTTTTTTGACCGAATATTTATATATTTATATTTGTCTTAAAAGTAACATAAAAATAGTAGCTCAATTGGATGGTGTTGCAAATTGAGTTGTTGCAAGGTCCCTGGTCCGATTCCACGAATGTTCCAACATGTAGTCTAGTTTTTTTTTTTTTTTACTAAGTGTTTATATATTTATATTTGTCTTAACATAACATAAACATAGTAGCTCAATTGAGTGGATTTGCACACTGTAATGTTGTAGGTCACTAGTTTGACTTCTCCAAGACCCCAACACACTGTTTGTCCTTTTTTTTTTTTGACTGAATATTTATATATTTATATTTGCCTTAAAAGTAACATAAAAGTAGTAGCTCAATTGGGTGGTGTTGCAAATTGAGTTGTTGCAAGGTCCCTGGTTTGGCTACTCCAATGCTCCAACATGCAGGTTATTTTTTTTTTAACCAAGTGTTTTTATATTTATATTTACCTTAAAAGTAACATAAAAGTAGTAGCTCAATTAGGTGATGCAAATTGTCATGTGTAGGACAATAGTTCGACTCCTCCAAGACGAACATGCTTTTTTACATTATTGTCATAGTTAAATTACTTATTTATTGCATAAATATTAAAATTATTGTATTTTAATGATCAAAAAAATTATAACTTTTATGTAATAATTAGATACATCAATATTTTATAATAATAAATAAGTGGATATAAGTTCCTTTTTTTTATTTATAAAAAATATATGTTCTATTTCAAATTATATAAAATTAAATGTTACAATTACATTTTTTTTATATTTAAACTATTTCAATCAATTGCATGTTACTTATTTAATTATTTGGAATTTTTGACATTGTAGAATGGCTCATAAAAAACACATTGGTTGGGAACACGCAACACCTGTTGGTAGTGATCGATGAATTACAAAGTGCAATTATTGTGGTAAAATAGTTCATGGTAGCATTACTCGAATGAAGCAGCATATTACACATGTATCCGGCCAGGTGGAAGGATGTCCACGTGCACCAAAACAAGTGTCACAATTCTTGAAACAACATCTTAGTGATTATAGTAAAGAAAGAGCTTCTATAAAAAAAAAAAAGAACAAATTATACAATCATTACGAGATGAAGATTGTTATAACCTGGATGACGATGACGATGATGATGATGATGGTGAGAATCAAATTGAAGAGGGTGATTTTGAAAGAAGACAGTTAAAGCTTGCAATGAAAGAAAGCCGTTAAATGGCTTGGATGGAGGAAGAGGGTCGTAGGCACTCTGTATCAAATGCAAGCGGTCGATCATCACAACCATCAAGCTCAGGAATCAAGCGCGGACCACCACGTAGTTATAGCGTAAAAGAAGGTGCAATCATGCCTATAAGTGGCCTTGATCCGTACATGTTCCCGTCGAAACAAAAGTTAGTAAAAAGTATGTTCTCAAGTGCGAACCTGAAAAAAATTGGAAAAACTATTTCGAAGTTCTTCCTCTTCAAGGCCATACCATCAATGCAGTTGATAGTGGACCTTACTATCAATCAATGATTGACACTATTGCGGATGCAGGCCCAAGAATAAAGGGTCCCACAGGATATCAAATTGGTAGTTCTTATTTGGAGGAGGAGGTTCAAGAGCTTGATGTGTATATATCTTCGATGAAGGTAAAATGGCCTCAGTATGGTTGCACAGTCATATCTGATGGGTGGAGTTCTAGAACAAAGAAATTTATTATCAATTTCATGATTTTTTGTGACTGTAATATGATTTACCATACATCAGTTGATACCACAAATATTTCAAAAACTGCTGACTATATTTTCTCTCTTATGGATAAAGTTGTTGATGAAATTGGAGAAGAAAATGTAGTACATGTAGTAACCGACAATGAGACAAGCTTTAAAGCAGCTGGTAAGATATTGATGGATAAAAAAAAACATCTATTTTGGTCTCCTTGTGTAGCTCATTGTATTGATTTGATGCTAGAAAATATTGGTCATATGAAAGCAATCAAGGAGATCATAGATGATGCTAAGACGATCACATCTTTTATCTACAACAGTCTCAAAGTGGTCAACTTAATGAAGCAACATACCAGAGATAGAGATTTATTGAGGCTAGGTATAACACGATTTGCCACTGAATTTATCGCCATTGAAAGTCTTATTCGTTATGAATCGGACTTGAAAAGAATGTGCATCACTGATGAATGGCGTGAGTTCAACAAAGACAAGAAGAGGAGAAAAACAAGAGATATAGTCTCAAACCTTATTTTGACTGACCAATTTTGGAAGAAGGCTAGAGAAGTTCAATCTGTCATGAAACCTCTTGTTAGGGCCTTAAAAATAGTTGATCAAGACAAAAAATCAACTTTATCAATTATCTGAGACAATGGACAGGGCTAAACTAGCCATACAACATTCAGTCAAAAATTGGAAGAAATACTGGGCCGTGATTGACAAAAGATGGGAGATCCAATTGCACAGACACTTGCATGCAGCAGGTAAAAGTATTTAAAAATATAAATTTTTTGTTGTGTATTAGCTTGTAAAATATTATAGTTTTCCACTAACTTACATTAAATTGTCAAAAACTTTGCAGCTTATTTCTTAATTCTAGTTTTTCAGTATTCTAATCAATTTTCCAACCATCCTGAGGTAAGATTTGGTTTGAAAGAGGTTATTAAAAGATTGGAACCAGATTTGAATAAACAAGCAAGGGCAATGAATGAGGTATGACGATTTTTGATAATTTTTTATTATAATATGTGTATATATTTGTCGCTTACGTAATACATTACACAATAAATTACAGATCAAATTATATACTGACAAACATGGCGAGTTTGAGAATGCACTCACTAGGAAAGCTGTACATGCCTCCCTTCCAGGTTTATTATTTAAACTATATGTATTTATTAAAGTATCATTTGTTACTCTTATGGACAATATTAATATTGTACAATTTTTTTTTTTTTTGTAGCTGAATGGTGGATCAATTATGGTGAAGAAGCTCTCCATCTGCAAAAAATTACAGTCAAAGTTTTAAGTCAAACATGTTCATCATCAGGGTGTGAAAGAAATTGGAGTACATGATCGCTGATCCATACAAAACTTCGCAATCGATTGGCAATGAAAAAGCTACATAAGCTAGTTTTTGTGCACTACAATATGCGGTTGCGAGTTAAAAATTTGACATATTAGCGTGAAAATGATGATTTTTATAATTCAATTGATCTGAACTACATTTTTAATGATGAAGATATATTAGATGAGTGGATAAGAGAAGGAGATGAATCAATTTTACCACCTGATAACTTAGGTTGGCTGGATGAAGGTATTCGTGACATTGAAGAAGGTGGAAATGGACGAGATGTAGTTGATGAAGGTGACACTAATACGGCACCAACATCTAGTAATTATGCCACTACCAGAAGATCTGAAAAAGATACGAGGCCAACCAATAAGGGTAAAAAGGCTATGAGAATTTTTGTCAGTTCTAGTGATTCTTCTTCTTCTGATGATAATGATAATAATGTTGCTGATACTTATGGTGGTGGTAGTGGTGATGGTGATAGTAGTAGTACTGATGATGATGATGATGCTAGTAATCATGGTGGAGATAATGATGAGAGCAACAAAAGTGGTGGTGGAGGGACTACTAGAGATGTCGGTGATACTCAGCTACCTGGCAGTATGTCATGGGTACAGGGGCAAGACAATTACTATGTCACACATGATACAGACCATGGATATAGACCAGGGGCAATGAAACAACGGAGGAATTTAAACTCTTCCATTGGTGATGATTATTCCCATAGACGCTACCATCATTCACTTGGTCGATAAGATATTGATGATCATATGCAGAGTTTGGGATTAACATCATATGAAGGATACATGCCTTACGGACATCAGCAAAGTAGTGGTATAGAATCTAGCTATGCACATGAATCATATGGATATGGTATTTCTTCGTAGCTTCCGAGGTCTACTAGTACTAATAGTGCTGGGCATTATGGCCATTGCCCTACGCATCTTGAGAGATCTACTAGTACTAGTACTGGTGGTTACTGTGATCGTGTTCTAAGGAGACATCATGATGGATCTTCTAACACGACATCGGATAGTGTCAACTTTTATGGATATGATCAGTCTTCTGCTAGTAGTGGCCGTGAATATCGTAGTTTTGGGTACTATTAGTATGGGAACCAGCCAATACAACCTCTACAGTCACACTACTCTGATTATGGGTTATCTAGTCAATCAACTCAACTAACCCAATCAGACCCGTATTCACACTTGTACTCTTATTCTTATGGTGGACAGTACCCTAATTTGTATTATCTTAGAGACAATAACGACGATTTTGAGCCTCATCGTCGTTCGATGTGGCAATGATTATGACTCAATATATTCCTAAATGTCTACATTGAACATTGATAATGATAATTATTTTCGCTCGCGATTTTATGTTTCATTTTAATTATGTTTAATGTGTTTTTAGATGTATTGTGGATATATGATGCATAAATGATAATGTCTATTTTTTTAGAATTTTTTTAAATTTTTTTAAATTTTTTTGGAGCTTCTATCTTGCGTTTTGAGCGTATCGGCCGATACCGCACCGCGACGCCGCGACCGATGTGTATCAGCACCCTCCGAGTTGATGGTCGATACCGCGACTTTGAACCATGGATAGATATGAGAGAGAAAATTTTTTAATGTTAGTTAAATTCCTAAAATTTAGGAGTTTTTAATTTTTTGTTTTACTTCACTTTTAAATGAAAGGTATAGTCTGGTAAAATTGACAAAAAATGGACTTCATAACAAATAAGTTTCCTTGGCGAACTTAAGTCCAAACAAGTCCATATAGGGGGATCGACTTCCAAATTTCCCAAGAAAGAACACTTGGAGAGGCATTAGAAATGCCTCAGCTTTGGTGAGGCTTGACCCAACTCATTTGAGAGTATCAATGTTAACCATTGGCCTAAATGTCCAAGCGCTCAATGCTGATGAATAGTTAAAGAGTCAAAAAAATGTCTAATTTTATGCATTATTCTTTTGACATATAAAAGAAAAATTAGACTAATACTGTTGATCTCAAAAATTGTTCACCGCAGTGTTTGATTGGAATTATGATTTGGCAACTGGCGAGAATAATCTTGCAAGAGAAGTTGAGGACCAAAGGGACTTCGATGGTCGACCCTTCGATGACAAAGTTAGAAATGAATTAATGTAAGATATTATATTTACCTGAATGATGCCTAACTTGGGCTTTTTATAGGTCAGAAGATTGAACCGTTGAAGGATCTTCAACTGTTATTTAAATGGAGAGGCACTAGAAATGAAATAGAAGATGACATCCTCTAACGTGGATATCTCAACTGGTATGAATTAGTCAAAACTTGCATAGCTAAAGAGCTTCCGAGCTAGGATACTGGCGAGCAAGGAGCTGAGGCCCTTTCCGAGTCATGGAGCCCTTTCTCTAGCAACTGAGTTCCTCTGCCGAGCTCGTGCTTAATTTATTATTATCAAATACTATGAAAGAAAAGTTAAATTGATTACCATAGTAAGTTACCATCGGTAAATCAACTAAACCTTGGAGCAATATTGCATTCCCAAAATTTTCATTAGGTGATGAAGAACCGCTAGATCAAAATTATGTAAAATTAGAAAATATTAGAGGGCCTTGTTAGACTCGAATGAGTTCAAGTAAGTACATCTTCTACCCTTTACTCAAATTTAACTGAGTTTTGTTCTATCCTCAAATTCATATTAAATGAAGAGAAATTAAAATCTCCGGTAGTTATGTTTCACTTTCATTTAAATTTGAGTTCATTTATTAGAATGTTTTGTATCAAATAAAACTTTTACTTAGTCTTATCAAAAATAAAGGTCCCTGCAACACCTAGTTTCAATACTCTCCAATTTGAAAATGCTATCCACATTTTAATGGTAACAGAAATACATCTGACCTTGAAAATATACAAGGATAGTAAAGCTTTCATCGCTTAGATTTAGGGCAATAAGACGCACCACAAATATGATAAGTAAAGAATAGAGATGACCCAAGTAAAGCTGTCTTCAGCTTTAACTCCCATTTAATCCAAAAGCTTTTGGGATTAGCCTCAATCCCAACATCGACGATATGGAAAAAGGAAGAATCGGACAGAGAACAATTTTGGAGAGAGGATAGGAGACAGCCCAAATAGAGTCCGTACATGACCCACTTAGGGGAGGCTGATTGACCCAAAAGCCCAAATAGAGTCCGTACACAACCCACTTAGGGGAGGCTGATCGGCCCAAAACAGAAGCTTGATGTTGCATCATTGGTGCTGCAAGCTCTGGCTATGGCCGCTATGATCAGACTTGTCATATAGTTCTCAGGGAATAAACAATGAGTTGATGACCCAGTAAAGTACAGAGGGGAAGATGATGAGAGTTGCAGGGAAGAGGGTATCTCCTTCTTTGCCTCCATGGCTTCTGATCCAAACTGCCAATTTCACCACCCAACATGCTTTCTCTTCCCCATCAGAATCCCATTACTCGAATACCGGTAAGTAGCCCTATCCATTTCCTTCCTCAAGTTTGATTATCTCTCTTTTTCTTTGTTTTCCTTGTTTCATTTGATTCCAATGGTTTTCCAATAATTGTTATTAATACTTTCATACACATTTTTGTGCATCAGACCCTCAATTCAAATGCCATATATCTTATCAATGTTGGAATTATTAGTTTAGGACTGTTGGTAATGTCCTCCTTGGGACCCTTGGTATTTTATTTTCAGCTGGTTTCTTGGCTTTGCATCGTTTATTTCCTGGTGAAGAACTTAATTTGATAATGAGAATTGTAAGTTATTGTTCATGTAAGGATATGACTGTTTCTCTGTCTGTGCTATTAGTATTTTCTAATTACAAGTTCAGTTTTATTGAATTTTTGAAGGAATGTAGTCTATTTTCACTTGTTGAAGATAACCCAGGTGATGATAGCAACCGTGTCTAGCATTTTTGGCCCATCATAGTGCTGTTTTTCATGTAATGGTCTACTTTGTTGTGCTTGTAGAAAATTAAAATGTTGTTGGGTTCTGTCCATCAAAGACTGCAAAACATGTAGTCATTGAATATTAGCTTCTTCTTTCTTTGCAAGGATTTGGTGAATGGCATAGCCATCTTGATAGAGACTAAGATGCTTGTGGTGGTGTTGAACCGAAATTGCCTAGAACTTTTTTGTTCATTCAACAGTTTGTTTGTTCTTTTTTCTTTTCTTTTTTTTTTTTACATTTCTTGGTTTGGCGAGTGTTGAATCAATTTTCAAGATGTTGCGCTTATTATATCCTTTTGAATTTTTGTTGTCTACACATCTATCTAATATGCTTTCCCCCACTTTATTTGCCAAAACATTGAAAGAGGAATATGAAGTTATATTGCCTAGCAAAATTTTGCATGGTAAAAAAATCAATTTTTTCTATTTTACGTGGGGCTAGTGCAATTGCTAAGCATTCATATATATCATTCCTATCTAATTGCCATTTATCAGAGGAAAATTCTGAGTGTTATATTGTACAACCATATGTGAACCTCTAATATCATGATACAAAGAAGGGATCGGCAACCTGTGCCTTTTACTTCCTCAATATTTCCTGGTTTGAGTCTTCTAACTAGGATATCATTTCAACAATTACGACAGTGTTAATTACCCTTCCATTACATTACAGAGAACACCTTATCAAAACTATTCTAGAGAAATGGCTTTTGTCTATTTTAAAGTGATTCTCATGAAACAATCCTTTCAGATGATAAGACACTCTTCCACGCTCTTGAAGCATGCAAACTCTTTCAATTTAAGAACTGCAGTTGAGACGCACTCTAGAATCATTAAGCTGGGGTATGGAACACACTCATCTCTTGTATCACTGCTGATATCAGTGTATGTGTCTTGTGACCACCTCGATCTTGCTTGTCAACTGCTTAATGAATTCCCATGTTGGGATTTTGATCTGCTCTCTGCCAATATGATCATCGCAAGTTTTATGAAGATTGGCGAAATAGATATTGCCCGGAGGGTGTTTCATAAAATGCACACTTGAGGTGTGGTATCAGGGAACTCGATGATTGGTGGTTATGTCAGAAATTCATGCTTTGAGGGAGCATTGGATATGTTCAGGATTATGTTGAACTCAAACATAGAACCAGACGGATTCACTTTTGCATCCATTCTAACTGGATGTGCACGACTTGGAGCTCTTGATTGTGCTAAGTGGGTACATAATTTATTTTTTGAGAAAAGAGTTGAACTAAATTACATTTTGCATTCTGCACTAATTGACATGTATTCAAAATGTGGGAGAATTGAAACAGCAAAAGCAATATTTGACAGTGATCAACGTAGTGATATTTCTGTTTGGAATGTGATGATTAATGGGCTAGCAATTCATGGCCTTGCTTTGGACACAATTGCAATATTCTCGTTGATGAAGGTGGAAAATATTTTACCTGATTCTGTAACGAATTCGTAGCCAACCCCTCAGTATCCCATTACCATAGGCCATATCCAGACAGTGGAGTTTCTGCTAAAATCTCTCTCTCTCTTCTCTATTTCAATTATGATATTTTAGCTCTGTCTAGATTGTCTGATCTGAACTCAGAGCTCTACCTTCTCCAATTGGAGCAGAAATGGATGCCGCTCAAGAAGCCCACAACAGAGAAGCTTTCCGACAAGCCATCGTCAACACACTTGAGCGTCGTCTCTTTTACATACCCTCTTTCAAGATCTACCGTGGCGTTGCTGGTTTGTACGATTATGGGCCTCCCGGTTGTGCCATCAAGTCCAATGTCCTTGCTTTCTGGCGTCAGGTCAGCCCTTTCATCATTTTTTTACAGATATTAATACAAATCGATTTCTGAGTCAACCATATCGATTTGGTGGTGTATGCTCTGTTAGATTTATGAATCCTCCTAAAAATTAATGCCGTGGTTGGATTTATATGTAAAGGTGTACTACATAAGTAGAAGTTTGGAGACTTTTCACCCAAATTTCTATGAGTGAACAATAATGAGCTGAGGATGTGAGTCATAGGTTGTTTTTTCTCGAAGTTTTGTTGAGTTGTTGATGTCGCCATAGAATCGCTGTAATGTTTCAAAATCACATGGTTGAAGCTTAATATTGATCGGACATTTGTAGTTAAAATAGTGCATTCTGTACATTTTTTATCACATGGGTATTTTGGCAGAGGACCGCTTTTGCTTGATGAATAGCAATTCCAAGGTTCTTCACTGTTTCTGTTACTAACTGGGCTCATTGGTCGTTTAAAGGTAAATGGTCTCAGTTTTTTATAGTTGATGGCCAAGCTGCAGCATATATTTGTTACCATCACATGTGTGGTTGTGTGCGGAGCTTGATGTCGTGGTGGGAGATATGTTTGATACTATTGTGGGATTGATTAATGTTTGATGGTCTTGTTTGGGTTTTGATGCCTTAAATTCAGTTTAGAGGTCTTTTCTGTTCTTTTGGATCATATTTAATATTCATTTTGGCGATTTGGTTCTTCTTTATGATGCAACTTATTTTACCTGACGCATTTTGTTAGTATTTCAGCATTTTGTTCTGGAGGAGAACATGCTAGAAGTTGATTGCCCATGCGTGACACCAGAGACTGTGTTGAAGGCATCGGGTCATGTCGATAAATTCACTGACCTTATGGTTAAGGATGAAAAGACCGGTACTTGTTACCGTGCGGACCATTTGCTAAAGGATTTTTGCAAGGAGAAGCTTGAGAAAGATCCTAAGATCACTCAGGAAAAGGCAGCAGAGTTCAAACACATCCTTGCTGTGTTGGATGATCTTTCTGTCAAAGAACTAGGTGCAAAGATTAAGGATTATGGTATTACTGCTCCAGATACTAAGAACCCTCTATCTGCTCCCTATCCTTTCAACCTAATGTTTCAGACCTCAATAGGGCCATCTGGTTTGAGCCCTGGGTAAGGATATCATCATGATATGTTGCTATATACCAAGTTTGTCATTAATTTGTAATATGTACCTTTACTCGTGACTGTGAGGAGCTTATTTTTTCGCTGATTTATTTTCCTGATCTGTGCGGTCCATTTTGTTTTTGTTTGCACTTTAAACTTTTTTGGTGCAGGTACATGCGCCCTGAGACAGCACAAGGCATTTTTGTGAACTTCAAAGACTTGTACTACTACAATGGGAACAAGCTTCCTTTTGCTGCTGCTCAAATTGGTCAAGCTTTTAGGAATGAGGTCACAAATCCTATTTTAACTCTTGCATGGTTGTGGGCTTGCACTTCTGTGGCTTTGGGTGTTTGTGGAGTTCATTTTGTGGCTTGAGCTGAAATTTTTCCAACTTGCTTTCATGTCACTAAATCTTGCACATTGTCCTCATTGTCTCATTGCTACAGTAGTCGTTGGTAGTAGTAATAGTAAAAAAGGAGAACCATAAATAGGAGGGTAAGTGGTTGTAATTGAGGCTGGGGTTGGAGAGGAAGCTGAATAAAACATATCAGTGATGGCCATGATGTCTTACACCTATGTTGCCTCGGGGGGAACAATGAAGAAGAAAAGATAATGCTTTTATTCTCTAATTCAATGAAAAGACAAAATAACAAGAAAAGATAATTGTGTTTTGTGAGAATGCATTGAAAGGACATGATTTAATTAGTCCACTTGGGTATTTGGAGTAGTTGGCTTCTTTGTTATAGTGATTCCTAGGCTCTTTATTATTATTTCCTTTCAGATGTAAGATTGGGTCATATGGTATATAAGGACACCATCTAGAAATAAAGAGTTGGACCTAAATCTGGTAATAAATTCAACAGATATCTCCAAGGCAAGGTCTCTTACGAGTTCGTGAATTTACACTGGCTGAGATTGAACATTTTGTGGATCCTGATGATAAGGCTCATCCGAAATTTTTTGAAGTTGCAAAATTGGAATTCTTAATGTTCCCAAGGGAAGATCAGGTGTCTGGACGATCAGCAAGGAGAATAATTATTGGGGAAGCAGTTTCTGAGGTTGGTCTGATTGATGCCACTTTGCATCTCTTTGTCTATTTTTTTTTTTTTTGGGGGGGGGGGGGAGGACAGGATTCTGTTTGTTTAACTTCTTGTTGGTTATTATGTGTTGTGCAGGGAGTTGTCAACAATGAAACACTAGGCTATTTCATAGGGAGAGTGTATTTATTCTTGACGTCTCTTGGTATCAACAAAGAGCGGTTGCGGTTTCGGCAGCATCTAGCAAATGAGATGGCACACTATGCTGCAGACTGTTGGGATGCTGAGATTGAGTGTTCCTATGGTTGGATCGAATGTGTTGGTATCGCTGACAGATCTGCATATGATTTGCGTGCACACACGGTAAGGGTTCAACAAATTGCGGGGGAGAAATTTTGGAAAAGATATATATTTTGAAAAATTGAGTATGTAAACATTCTTTTGTAAGATAAATGGAAGGTGGTGAATGATCTCATTGATGTACAAATTTGTTTCACATTTTCTAATTGTTCTCATTATGAGTAATATTCTGAATTACTCACCAGATTTTGTTATCGCTCATTGCAGGACAAAAGTGGTGTGCCTCTTGTGGCACATGAAAAATTTGCAGAGCCTAGAGAAGTGGAGGTTTCCCCCCCTTCCCCCTCTTTTCCTCCTTTCTCTCTCTTGTGTTGACTAGTTTAATGAAGTGTTTATTCTATCCCCATTGGTAAATCCACAGTATTATGTTCCAGAAACTTGTTATAACTCCAGTGAAGAAGAATCTGGGCCTTGCATTTAAGGGTAACTGGAAGATGGTGGTTGAAGCATTGGAGGTAAACTACGATAGTATAAGTGTGTATTACTTCTGTTTTGGGCGTAGGTAGTGGGTACCTATGTTTTCCCCCATTAGCGTGGCCTCGTGAGGGAGGGGTGATTTTCTAGGAATTTTGTGCTTTCACTGTTGCTTATATTTCATTAGATATTCTTGAAGAAGGGTGAAATGTTTCCCTTAAGTGTAGGGGGACAACATTTTTCTAACAGGTTTGCAATTATTCATAGAAGGAAGGCAGGTGTGATGCATATAGATATTAGAGCCTCTGCCTTGTGAAATACTGAACTGTGCTTTGTTCCTGTGTGTATGCAGGCTATGGGGGAAAAACAAGCTATGGAAATGAAAGCCATTTTGGAATCCAAGGGAGAGGCTGAGTTTCAAATTTGTACTCTTGGAAAGGATGTAACTATAAAGAAGAACATGGTTACCATATCCAAGGAAATGAAGAAGGAACATCAAAGAGTTTTCACGCCGTCAGTGATTGAGCCATCTTTTGGGATTGGAAGGATAATCTACTGTCTATATGAGCATTCTTTCTACACAAGACCTAGTAAAGACGGGGATGAACAATTGAATGTTTTTCGTTTCCCTCCCCTGGTAGCACCTATCAAATGCACCGTATTTCCACTTGTTCAGAATCAACAATATGAGGAAGTTGCTAAAAGCATTGCCAAATCATTGACTGCAGCTGGAATCTCCTACAAGATTGATATAACAGGTAAACATCTTTAAGAGTATGCTTACATTTTTTGCATGTATTCATCAATGATCAGGCCAACCCTATATTTTGTTATTGCATTGTACATATCATTAGAAATTGAAAGGCCAGGCTATCTGGATCAGTAAAAGGCTTTATGTATGTCTATTGGTGGTTTGGGGATTTGAGTTGATATGACATGACTGTTTAAGTTGGTTTGATAAAGCTGTGGTCAACACAAACTTGGTGGGCTGCTATAGTTCTGCAGGGGTGTGACTGTGTTGAGTGAAGCAGAGTAGTGGACTGCTCAAGCTCAGCTCAGTTGAACTACATGAGAACACAAGCTCAGCTTGACCTTACAATTAAGTTGGTGAGCCAATGATGCTGGACAAGGGTGTAGAACCTCTGATACAAGTTACGGTGCCCAAATTTGCATAGGATAGCTGGTAAGAGGAGTCATCTGAGGTTGACTGTTGATTGTTTTGTTTTGTGGCTTTGATTTTGGTGAAGATATGGGGCGTTAGGAATTGTCAAAGGTTTAATAGTTAGACTCAGGGTTTCAGGGTTTAATTAGGCAAGGAAAGGTTAAGTTTGGGGTCTGCTCTCAATGCTATGGACATCAACTCCAGTAGTTTTTGGTTGGCTTAGCCCTGAATTCTGATTGGAGAAAGGGACTTACGGAAAAATGGATGAATAAATGTGGCATATTAAGTTGTGGTTTTGAGGGTTAAAAAGCGTGGCTCACAAGGTCTGATGAAAGGTTTAGATGCCCAGAAACATACTGTAATTAGGCTCATTTACTCCCAGTTCTATTTGGACTAGGGCTTTGACCTGACTGAGGACTTTGTAGAAACCGAATGATGTCATTTAGCCTTTGGACCCAAGAGGCTTCTTGATTGTTGTGATCCTACAGCCTTTATTTTATGTATCCAAAACTGACTTTATTTTTCAGCCTCTCAATAACTTCAACAGGGCCTTACTACTTGCATTTGGTGAGCATTGTGAATACAAGTCATTTACATGCATCTAACAAAAAAAAAAATCCATTTACATGCATGGTGAGTTCAGTCTGGTTGAAATCTATGCTTCTGAGATGAGTTCGGGTTTGCTACAAATCCAAATAGATGCAAACCAGGACCTCCCACTCGTCATTTGTTCGACCCAACTTATCTTGTAAGTATGAAGAATCCAAGTGCTGAAATTATATTGAAATTGAGCAGATAAGATATATTGTACACTTTTCCATTTATAATTACTTGGAATTAATTGATTAATGCTCATGGGAATGACTACAATAAGGCAAGATGCATACTGTGATGCCTACCAATGAGATAACCAATCAATTCAATTATTCATTTACTTATTGCAGGTACTTCAATAGGGAAGCGATATGCGAGAACAGATGAACTTGGGGTTCCTTTTGCCATTACAGTGGATTCAACATCGTCGGTCACAGTCCGGGAAAGGGACAGCAAGCAGCAAATTCGCGTGAATGTGGAAGAGGTGGCAGCTGTAATTAAGGAGGTGACTGATGGACTAAGCACTTGGGGTGATGTTCTGTGGAAGTACCCTACTCACTCATCGTGATAGGCGAATGAGTGAATTTGAGAGGCTTTAGCTGGCTTATCAGCACTCCATTGGTAGCCAATAGTGTCAAGTTGAGTAATATTATACATCAAGATGCTTTGATTTTTGTCCTCAAAACTCCGTTTACACTTTCAGGTTTTTGTTGTTCAAATACTACTGGTACGATTTTATATTAATTGGTATGCAGAATAGTGTAACATGTTAACAAGATGTTATATCAGTATAAAATGCAGTCTCTCATATGTATTGTTTTTTATTAAGAATTTAAAGTCCGATCGAACGGAGTGGATGGAGGTAATAAACATGAATGGAACTTGGTCAGGAAGTTTTGCAGGAATGGTAACTAGGACCTGAATCTCTTGGGCAATTTTAGAATACAAACCAAATTAATCGATGCTTTTGTTGAGTCCCCTTTATGAATGTCAGTAGGTCTAGTCTACAATGGCACCATTCAAAAACTAAAGGGTCAAGACAAGATACAGTTTAGAAAGGCTATTGACCCCCCCCCCCCCCCCCCCCCACACACACACACACACACACACAACAACAGTCCCACATACAACAAAAAAAAAGTGGCGGAGATGGAAGCATAACTGGTGGAGCTTGGTGGGGATGCCCCGGATAGACAGCCAGGGATGCGTGATGGAAATGGTGTCGATGTCATGCCCTTGTTGAGTTACTCTATCTACAATTATATGATACAAATAGTGTCACGTGGTGTAACTGTCAAGTAATAAGCGGACAAATTAGTCCAAGTAATTCAATAACCACCTATTCTAATGTATTTTATCTAATTTTTAGTTTTTTATTTGACGGTTTTATCATGTGATATTGTTGACAAAATAATAATATATAATTTATTCAACTACAAAAGGCTTGTAGTATGGGTCAAAGAGGAAACATTCAAATGGGAACAAAAGATAATTAACATAGATAAGATAAACGAAAGAATATTAATCCTTGAAGTAATATTTTGCATTCGCAAATTAGCAATTGAGAATTATTAGATTAGAATTACGTCAAATTAGGTATAAGATGACCTTGTTAAACTCACATGAGTTCAAGTAAGTGCATTTCCTATCCTTATTCAAATTTAACTTTTGAGTAAAAATAATAAAAATATATTTTAGTCTTTTTCTCAAACGCCTACCAAATGAAAAAAGATTTAAATATTTAATTGTTATATTTTATTTTTATTTAAATTTGAGTTTTTTCATTGAAATTTTTATTTCAAATAAAACTTTTACGTAGCCCTATCAAGAATGAAGGCCGTGAACGTTAACACTCCCAAATCTATAAACACTAACCACGGTTTTAATGATAATAGGAATATATTTGACCGTTTGACCGTGAAAACATACAAAGAGAGTGAAACTCCCATTACTTAGGTTTAGGGTGACCGGGTACACCCTCCAATCGATAGGTCGATAGGCAAAAATATAGTTCTAATTTCATCTCTAATCTTTAAGAAAATCGGGGTGTTTTTCGCATAATGAAAAATTTAACTAAATAGTGGAGATGGCATAAGTAAACGTGTGTTCAGCTTGAACTTCCACCTAATTCAACAGCTTTTGGGATTAACCTCAACCTCAACACTGATGATATGGAAAAAGAAGATTGGACTGAGGACAATTTTGGAGGAGGAGAGGGAAAGGGAGACAGCCCAAATAGGGTCCATACATGTCCCACTTGGGGGAGGCTGATCGGCCCAAAAAAGTTGCATCATGGAGACGAATATGAATTATCTCTGTTTGAGTGTTTTCTGATGTTGGAAGCTTTGGCTATGGCTGCAATGATCAGACTTGTCAAATGGCTCTCAGGGAATAAATGATGAGTTGATGACCCAGTAGAGTACAAGGAGGAAGATGATGAGACTTGCAGGGAAGAGGGTATCTTCCTCTTTGCATCCATGGCTTCTGAACCATACTGCCAATTTCACCACCCAACATGCTCTCTCTTCCCCATCAGAATCCCATTACTCGGATACCGGTTAGTGGCCTATCCTTTTCCTTCCTCAAGTTTCATTATTTCTCTTTTTCAGTTTTCCTTGTTTCATTTGATTCCAATGGTTTTCCAGTGATTGTTATTAATACTCTCATACACGCTTTTGTGCATCAGACACTCAATTCAAATGCCATATATCTTTTCAATGATGGAAATATTATTTTAGGACTGTTGATCATGTCCTCCTTGGCACCCTTGGTATTTTATTTTCAGTTGGGTTATTCACTTTGCACCTTTTATTTCCTGGTGAGGAACTTAATTTGATAATGGGAATTGTAAGTTATTGTTCATACAAGGATATGACTCTTTTTCTATCTGTGCTATTAGTATTTTCAAATTATAAGCTCAGTTTTATTGAATTTTTGAAAGAATGTAGTCTGTTTTCACGTGTTGAAGATAATACAGGTGACGAGAGCAACCGTATCTAGCATTTTTGGCCTATCATGGTGTTGTTTTCATGTAATGGTCTACTTTGTTGTGCTTGAAGAAAATTAAGATGTTGTTGAGTTCCTTCTTGGTCCATCAAAGACCGCAAAACATGTAGTCATTGAATATTAGCTTCTTATTTCTTTGCAAGTAGTTGGTGAATAGCATAGCCATTTTGATAGAGACTAAGGTGCTTGTGGTGTTGGTGAACTGAAATTGCATTGAACTCTTTTGTTCATTTAACAGTGTGTTTGTTTGTTTTTTTTTTTACATTTCTTGGTCTGGTGAGTGTTGAATGAATTTTCAAGATGTTGCACTTATTATATACTTTTGAATTTTTGTTGTCTAGGCATCTATCTAATATGCATTCCCCACTTTATTTGTGAAAACATTAAAAGAGGAATGTGAAGTTTTATTGCCTAGCAAAATTTTGCATTGTCAAAAATTCAATTTTGCCTATTTTACTTAGTGTTTTCTCTAATGCGATTGTTAAGCATTTATATATATATCATTCCTATCTAATTGCCATTTCTCAGAGGAAAATTTGAGTATTATATTGTACAACCATAAGTGAACCTCTAATATCATGATACAAAGGATGAAGGGATCGGCAACCTGTCTTTTACTTCCTCAATATTACCTGGTTTAGGTCTTCTAACTATGATATCATTTCAACAATTACGACAGTTTTAGTTACACTTCCATTACATTACAGTGAACAACTTGTCAAAACTATTCTGCAGAAATGGCTTATGTCTATTTTAAAGTGATTCTGCTCATGGACCAATTCTTTCATATCATAAGATGCTCTTCCACGCTCTTGAAGCATGCAAACTCTCTTTCAATTTAAAAACTGCAGTTGAGACACACTCTAGAATCATTCAGCTGGGGTATGGAACACACTAATCTCTTGTATCATTGTTGATATCAGTGTATGGGTCTTGTGACCACCTTGATCTTGCTTGTCAACTGCTTAATGAATTCTCGTGTTGGGATTTTGATCTGGTCTCTGCCAATATGATCATCGCAAGTTTTATGAAGGTTGGAGAAATAGATATTGTCTGTAGGGTGTTTCATAAAATGCACACTCAAGATGTGGTCTCATGGAACTCAATGATTGGGGGTTATGTCAGAAATGCATGCTTTTAGGAGGCATTGGATATGTTCAGGAATATGTTGACCTCAAACATAGAACCAGACGGATTCACTTTTGCATCCATTGTAACTGGGTGTGCACGACTTGGAGCTCTTGATTATGCTAAGTGGGTACATAATTTGATGTTTGAGAAAAGAGTTGAACTAAATTACATTTTACGTTCTGCACTAATAGACATGCATTCAAAATGTGGAAGAATTGAAACAGCAAAAGCAATATTTGACAGTGATCGACATACTGATGTGTCTGTTTGGAATGCAATGATTAATGGGCTAGCAATTCATGGCCTTGCTTTCGACGCAATTGCAATATTCTCGATGATGGAGGTGGAAAATATTTTACCTGATTCTATAACTTTATGGGAATTTTAACAGCATGTAGCCATTGTGTGCTGGTTGAACAAGGTCACAAGTATTTTAATCTCATGAAAAGGCATTTCTCAGTTGAGCCACAACTTGAGCATTATGTAGCGATGGTTGATCTCTTGGGCCGAGCTGGGCTCCTAGAAGAAGCTTATGCAATGATTAAGGAAATTCCAATGAAGCCTGATGTTGTTATATGGAGGGCATTCCTCAATGCTTGTAGAATTCACAAAAATTCTAAGTTGGCAGAAGTTGCCATTGCAAAAATATCACATCTTGGTAGTGGTGATTATGTATTGTTGTCAAATATCTATTGTTCTATAAGGAAATGGGAAAGTGCTGAGAGAGTCAGATATATGATGAAAAAGATAGGAGTCCGCAAAAAGGACGAAAGAAGTTGGATTGAATTGCGTGGTGCCATTCACAAATTCAAGGCAAGTGATCGATCTCACCCTGAAACAGAAGGCATATACAAGTTGTTGGAAGGACTGATCTGTCGAGCCAAAATGGTGGGATTTGTCCCTATGACGGAATTAGTTTTGATGGATACATCCAAGGAGGAAAAGGAGGAAAATTTGATTTATCACAGTGAAAAGTTAGCACTAGCCTATGGCATCCTTAAATCATGCCCTAGAACTGAAATTCAGGTTTCTAAAAACCTCCAGATTTACCCCGACTGCCACTGTTGGATGAAAATTGTCTCACAGGGTTATAATTGTGAGGGACCAGGTCCGATTTCATCGGTTTGAATGTAGTTTCTGTACTTGTGGAGATTATTGGTAGTCAATTTTAGGGGGTGCTTACATGGTAGAGATCTGGTATCATGGAAGTCAGAATATTAGAATGTGATATTTAACACCATGCTAAGGGGGACATTAGGTTCTTCTGTCTATAATGGACATGTATTTAGATGCGTCTAATCTAGTCTTTTGCTTGTCAATTGGAGAGAAAAAATTGAGCTTAGTTTCAATATTGGGGTTGTCCCATGTGTCTGCGACTCAAGACAGCATATCCCTTGAAAACTTCTTGGCAAATTATAAGGAATTTTTTTACACATCTGAAACCCGATGGTAATTTGCAAATACACTTTCTTCAAGTATTGCAGTAATTCGTTTTCAACTGAAAAATGGAAATATGTTCAGCTTCATTCCAACCACTACTGAATGAAGCCATTATTTAATATTGTGGTAGTGTAGGCTTAGTCAATGTGGAAGAAATATGACGACGATAATTAGCGATTGTTGTGGTGGATGCACAAGCAGGATGGAGTGGCTACAGTTTTTTTGAACTGAATTCGATAACAGAGGGTCTGTCTATGTATATGGCAATATTGTTGAAGTCAAATGGAACTACAAATTATCAATGGACAAGGTGTGTTCATAACTATGCATTGCCACTCGTAATTCTAAGTATCTTCTTGGTCTTACAAAATCTTCGTTATCTACTAATGTTGATTGTTCATTTTATTTTATTTTGCAATTCAGATTACATACAAGCACACTAAGCTTGCCCTTTGGCTGAGTTTCAAAAGAAACCATGTTAGTTTGAATAGCATATGATACTAGAGGTTTTTAAAAAGAAAAAATAATTTGAGCTGAATTCATTTCACAGACACAGAATTTTTGGTAAAAAATCATGATGTAGTTCTCCCAAATACATATCTATTGCTTGCTCAGCATCCCCCCCAAACACAAAAACACCATTTTTCTCTTTAGAGAATATAGTGTTCCTTTTCTTCTTGATTACTAAATTCTCACCGGTATCACAGCGTACCTTGAAATATTGTAGACAAAATTTTTGTCAATCTTTTACTTATCCAAGATTTTAACCTCTACCCTTGAGAACTTTCCTGCATGTAGGATGAGAGAAGTTTTCCTTTATATATCTGCTTATGCTAAATGATCATGGGCTGGTTAAAATTTTAAGGTAAAATTGGTTGGTTGACCAACAAGCCTATAGAAATTGGTCAGTGTGTTAATATGCAAAATGATAGGACAACATGTATGTTACTATTGCCAGATCATGTGTGGTGAGTTTTCTGATAATCCTTTGCTGTCTGAATGTCCAAGGTTTTGCATCTCAATCACAAGTCCTGACTCCTGAGGCATGAATGACTATTATTGACATCTGACCTCCCAACAGTTGGGGGCTTTGAAGAACTTTCAAAATCGGATATAGGTAGTGCAACTATGAGATGTTTACCCTCTTGTAATCACAACAAGTGCACATAACAAACAACAGGTTGTCTCTTGATCCTCAATTGTGCTGAACACGTCTAACGGCAAGGATGTTATTGCCCTGGTCTCCCTTAAGTTGTCATCTCCGGCACTGGTTGCGGGGCACCTACGTCTCTCAAGTGGCAAGGGGAAATGGCTTTCATCAACTGCCTGATGAAGAGTACATTGAGTTTCTAACATTGTTGATGGCTCGAGGTTAGGTCCCTACTCCCTAGGTAACCTGAAGGAGTCAGCTAGATGAAGAACTTAAAGTGGCTCCTTTAAATCATGTTTCCAGTCTTACATTTCTGGTAGTTGTAAGGAGATGGGCCATACACCCCCTGAAGGTTTCAAGTTGACATTTTTTTAAGGTGAGAACGTGTTGTTGATTGTCAATAAGATAAGGCTGATTTGAGGGGGTCTTCATTCCATCATAACCAGTTACTAAACTTGTTTGGATTTCGTCTACAGCTTTCAACATTTTAAATTGACCTCTACTGAGTGTGCGATTACAAAAGTTTGGTAGAGGTATTTCTTCGACCATTTCTGCTCATGAATATTGCTTTTGGACTGAGCAAAGCATATTGACAAATTTTACAATTTTTTCACCTTCAAATGTGGTGGAAATGCATCCAAACGTTGATTGCAAAATTTCAATTAACATTCGTGACACTTTTTGGAATCTTCCATTGTTTTGGTGAACTCCTCTATGCAAATTTGCACATCCATAATGTTGGCTTTCGATGGGAAACCATTTTGGACCCTTCGCGAATTTGCTTCTAGGAAATGCTTTCATATCGCGTTGGGTTGTAGTGCTCGGGTCCTTTTTCTGGACACAGTCTTTGTTCCTATTCTAAAAACTGCTCATCTTTTGGATGTGCTCCAACTTTTCAGGAGCTGATCTTCTTCCTGACCATGCTCTGACCAGGTCGATGGAAAGCTGTGGCATGCAGTAACTATGTAGATTGACATCATTAGCACCCAAACAGAGGATCCTCACGGGCGAAGACAAATATGCAGTGTTACTCATTTCCCAAGAAGTTGTATCAGAAGCTGATGCTGTGGTGCTCATGCTCTTGTTTCTTCTCTATATCCAAGCACAAAAACCGTTCTCACTGCACTTCACCATGGGGTACCACTCTTCTCTAATTCTACTTACCACATTCCTTTTAAAATTATCTTCTTATCATGAATTCTGATGGAATCGATTATGTTTAAGTTGGGTTCTTACTAATAGACGATAAATTATTGGATTTATAGAGACCTTAAAACTGGGGAGGAGCCAAATGTACCAGAACTTCAGATTTGGATCTCTGCAACACCCTTTTTTTTTCCAACTTCCCTTAATAAGAGATCACCCTATAAATACTAGTAGGACTAAACATATATAAAAGGGTCCTCCACCATTATACAACGTCTACTAATAAGATATAATACCAGGAGCCAATTCATTCTACAGACACCAAACCTGTAAATTTATCCATAATTTCACACTATCAAGTAAAATAGGCAGCATGTCTCCCACAGCTAGGCCATCCTGGACTTATATCAGAGACCTTGCCCATTGAGTGAATCATTGCACCTCTGGTAGATAAGTTTATACTCTTTATGTAATACATCACTGTTGAAAGAAATCATGCCTATAAAGGGTGAAAAAAGAAAACTGTAACCCACGAAGCTCCTGCCATTTCAGGATTAAGTCAGAGTTAATCTGATCCTCAAGACACTGGCAAATAAAGAAGAATAGCACTTTAAAAGGCAAGTTCGCCAGTTAGCTGTCTTGGATGGGAACCAATGCCATTTTGCCTCCATAAATCTCTGGAAGCTGGCTCTCGTCGATGTCTTGGAGCAGAGTTGATTTAAGTCGTTTATTTTCCACAAACACAATCTGTATTAGCAGAAAAATACATAAATTTAGTTAAATATAATCCTCTTCTTTTTTTCTCCTGTAAGTATGATAGTCCTATTCTTGTTTGCAGCTAAAATTGCACATGGTTGTGATTAGGGTTGCTTATGGTTCATGTCAAGTCGTGTCTAAGTTTTTCCATATCAAAATATGTTCAATTCACAATCAATGTATTTATAACCGTATAATGTCATATTGTGTAACGTAATGTTAGTTTTGTGTATGACCAAGTCTGTGTTGACCTATTTATTAAGTGTTGGACTTTGTGAAGCATTGGCAGCACATGTTGAGAAGGTATGGGAGTTATATCATTCTTCAACAGTGCACATAGCCATGATAAGGTAACATGGTAACATTTAAATGCAGCAATTTTTCGGATTCGATCTTCTCTATTACACTTTCACACAATAGTAGATCATTTACCATTAATACGGACCCACTATTTATTAGTGGGCACTTCATCCATACACGATGGATGATCTACCATTGAATGAAATTGAGGAAAAGTGTGATCGAGAGAATCTAAATCTCAATCTTTAGGAAGAGAGAAATCAAAATCTCACCTTTTTCTTAGTATTGTTGTCGATAAAAGGGTAGACAATTTTCCATACTGTCATAAATATGTAAGGCACATGGACGATAAGCAATTTCCCTAGTCTCTCGGGGTAGTAATCCTGTCATTAACAGCAAGCAATTAATTCAGAAGTTTTTCAAATTTCAACATATCATAGTACTACAACTTCTATGCAATAGCAAATGGGTTCCCTATGTCCCAGTGAGAGAGGCTCCCATCATAGGATTTTAACCCAAGGTGTGGACGCGTGTCCATTAATCGAAGATTTGCAATAAAGTAAGAATCAAAATTTTATTTCTCTATATGATTTTGGGCAGATAAAAAACGAAAATATAATGTAAAGAGAATGAAAACATGGGGAAAATTTAGAACTTTGATTTTTAAACATTTTGTCGTGTTTCAAAACATGTATAGTTTTTAATCACAGATTCTATTGGGTTTACACAGAAACTGAAACGTTTCATTTATTTCGTCCAAAACAAAAAGAAATTTTGAGTCAACAAAGAGATTGACAAGTATATTTAAGTTAATGAAAGATGCTGGTTTTGAAGACTATACCTGCAAAATGGTTAGAGCTCCAAGGTATGCACGAATATCACTGTTAGAATATCCCCAACCTTCGAGGTCTCCGATGACAACAAACTTCTCCTGTCCTGTTGGCATCCTGGTACATCAAGCTGTGTTAGATCAGTCTAGAATGTCATGTGCCTCAAACGTGGTTTACAACTTGCTTTTTTTTTTTTTTTTGTTTTTTTTTTTTTTTTTTTTGGGGGGGGGGGGGGGGGGGTTACTGGTGGAGGTTGAAAGGAAACAGCTAGTACTAGTATCCAAAAATCTTAGAGGAAAGACTACTCTACTGAGATGGTGAGAAATTACTGTTTAAATAGTGGCTGAATAGTGGGATGTTCAAAAACATGGGAGATATGGCTTTGGGCCACAACGTAGGTCCATCCAGTGGGTGACGGGGCACATGGATGGAAGTAGTTAGTACCATGGTCCAAAATTTGAATGCCAAAACTAAGAAGTTATTGCTCAAGTTTAGTAACGAGCATAACAGCCTAATCAGAAGTAATGAGTATAACAGCCTATTGTTCCAACGGGGACAAGAAGTTATGATAATATAGTTTCATCTAGTGGGTCATGGGGCACATGGATGGAACTACCTCACCTACTCTTATGGTCCAAAATTTGAAGGAGACTGCTCCATTTCAAGCAAATTTTCGGTGTGAATAACACATTACATGACAATGCAATGTGGTGTACATCACTTATAAAAAAATTTTACATTCACAATAAAAGATTGTCACATCACTTCATTAATTTCTTTTTTTTTTTTTTTTGACAAAACCAACTTGTGTGATTCACAAGCTGATTTTCATGTGTCCCATTGGGTGCCACATGGTTTGTAGTACTAACCGAAAATTTTCTCGTGTCCCATAAGTTGGCTTTGTAAGAGTCTCTCATTGGGTGTCATGTGGTGTGTAGTACTAACCAAAAATTTTCTCGTTTCATGTGGGATTCTCGGGAATAGAAGTTTTTTTTTTTTTTGGGGGGGGGGGTGGGGATTTACCTTGCACATAATTTTTCAAGAGCAAAAACCACAAATCCTGAAAAAAGAAGAGGTTAATTGTCAGGTTCAACTTCAACATCTACTAGGCGAACTACATTATCTTGTGAGTAAAAGACATCAAAAAACTTAGAAAGGGCTTCAAGAACATACGTTTGAACTCGTCTAGACCGCCTTTGTTGTGGAAATGCCTACCACCAAAAGCAACAGTGATGGGTCGTCCCTTTTTATCCATTCCTTGCATAAACATCTTGTTCTGTGCTAGGTCATTTGGGATCTCCGATGCCAAAATCAATCCGTTTGGAATGAATGTTCGTTTCCATTTCAGGTGTTTCAAGAACATAGAAGAAGCTTTCTCTATGTCGAGATCGCGTGCACGGAGAAACCTTCTCATCATCAAATCATCTACTTCCTGTAAATCGATCCAAAGAAACAAAATTTTCCGAGATCAAGAATGTGATGGAAGTTTAAAGAAAATTTAAGTGATCTTGAGGAAAAATTCAGTGACATCTGTGAGTTATCATGAAAAACGTTGGTGCAATCAGTCAAGAAAACATAGCTGCAAGGAGTGAGAAGCACCAAACATTATTAAACACCGAAGTACAAGTACATTGTTATGTTGCGAATGGCCAGAGTCGATATACCCCTAAGTCATTTTCTCATTACTTTCTGACTCTCTCATTTTCTATTTTTATTAGCAGTACTACTGTAGGATTCCAAAGAAATGGACTTCATTTGTTATGCTTCTCTTTACTAGCAGGAGTCCCACTGCCCAAGAAGACAAAACACAAAAAACACTCATTCTTATGTGTGACCCCGATTCCTTTGACACTTTTTCACGTGAATGTGATGACTGTTCTCACTATTGGACAAATCGTTCGAGAGATGTGATCAGATCCCATTTATTAACAAGATCTGATCAGATATTTGTCAGTGGTCAATTCCTCTGAACTGACTATTCCATGGCTATTTTAGCTACTACCCTTGATATTTTGAGTGAAAAACTGAAACTACATTGAAATTTCAAAGACATTATTAGAAGCATCCAAAAGAGTCACAATGAGAGAAACTTCGCTAAATAAATATAGTCAAAAAGTAAACCAGATGCTGTCTGCTAAGTGGGGTATTGAAGTAGATATATGAATGATTTTGAATCAGAATTTAGCATTGCAAGCTCTCATTTTAAAGATTAAAAATTACCCAAAATCCGAGAAATTTAATTTCTTCATACTGTCTATCACTTGTTTTTTTCATTGTAAGTTTTTTTTTTTTTGGGTCTGGGTTTTTTCCATTACACTGACCTGAGCATTTTTTAGCATGACTAATTTTGATTCAAAATTTAGCAGCTCTCATTTTAAAGATTAAACATTGCCCAAAACGAGAGAAATTTAATTTATTCAGATTGTCTATCACTTATTTTTTTCATTATACTGACCTAAGCACTTTTTAGCATATAACTGATTTTGAATACAAATTTAGTAGCCCTCACTTTAAAAACTAAAAATTGTAGATGGCCCCAGAAATTTAATTTTTTCAGATTGTCTACCACTTATCTTTTCCATTATACTGACTTGAGCACTTATTAGCATACAACTGATTTTGAATCAAAATTTAGCAGCTCTCATTTTAAAAATTGCTCAAAACCCGAGAAATTTAATTTTTGCAGATTGTCTATCACCTATAATTTCTTCATACCTGAACATTTTTGAGCAAATATATATTGTGTACTACATGCATGATGCTATAAAAATCCATTGGGAGAAGAAGTGAGAGAACCTTGGAAGATGGATCTTGCTTTTCGACAAAGGCTCTCATCAGACTAACTTTTTTCTGCTCTTCCTCATTGCTTCCATCAGTTATACATTGTAGGCCCTCTTTTGCTTCTGTTTTTTCTTCTTTATTTCTGGGTTTTTCTCAGCTCCTCACTTTTCTCCATCACTGCTTTTCCCTCCATTACTTTCCAGTAGCAGAGAGAGAGAGAGAGAGGGAGAGAGAGATGACAAAGGGACTTGAATGAATGAAGCTAAGAGCTGAGGGAAGAGGGAGTTCAACTACTTCGCCCGTGTTAGTTGGTGGCTACTTATTCATGTGGCTTCCATCCAAATTTTTCAAGTTAATTTTTTAAGTCAATGTTTTTTAAGTTTATTTAGCATTTTTTAATTTTTTTTGACAGTGCCGATACAGGGGAGTCGAATTTAGAAAATGCTATAAAATTCAAATAGAATTCAAAAATTATAATTTAAATATATATTATTCATGAGATGAGTGGATCCTACTAAAAAATTTGATAAAATCTACTCATTCAAAAAATAATATACATTTAATTTGTAAGTTTTTAAATTTCATTTAAATTATGTAATATCACTCGGAAAAGTTTCGAACTTGTGATCTTCGCATGACGAGTGGGGTATTTAAAATTCCAATGTAATGCTTGTTAACTTGCGGATGGGGGGTAATCTTCGGATCAACAAGGATTTTTAGTGTTTGAATTGAGTTTAAGGAAACAAATCTCTAATTGGGTTAAAGGGGTGAAGTTGAAGATCCGGATTGGATTCAACTCGAATTAAGAATTTAAAAGTTGGAGGTGAGCAAAATTGACTTTACAATTTGTCCGACCCATCTAAATTACACCCTTATTGCCAATGATCCATCTAAAGAGAAAAAAGGAAAAATTTGGAGGCCGGTCTCTCTTTGTGGACTTATTTGATTATAAGTTCATCAAAGAAACTTGTTTAATATTAAGTCAATTTTGATCTTTATTGTCTAAAATACTCCTAACAGTTATGTTTAATTAAAACAAATTTAAAAATCAATTAAGAGTTTAATTAACATTAAAATTATCTCTCATATCTATCTATATTCATATATAAAATAGAATTATTTATTTCTCTCTCTCGTAGACACACACACACACACACACATATATATATATATATATATATATACGCACATACATATATAAAGGCCATCAAGGATTTGGTGAATAATGCCAACTTTGACTGTTCGGATTTTCTTTGCTAGCCATGTACTCGTGCCATGTGGCACTAGTGATTCTGTTGCTTAGATCGAAGCGATTTGAGCATTATCGTTGTGCGTGCAAGATCCTGCACAATATAAAAGTATTGGGAACAGCTCTCTCCCCTGGTGAACTTTGAGTGAGCCGGTTGAGTGGCCAAACACACTGTTTGAAACAGCCTACAAGGAACGGTGGCAACCTGGAACGGCAAAGGAAGATCCTGGGAAAGGGAGAACGATCTTGTACGTGTGAAAGGTATTCCCTGGAACAAAGGAGAACAAGTTAGAAGGGCGCCGGAGTGTTTTCCGGCGTATCCCCTCCGACGGTCTAGTCAGTCTTTGAATGAGAGAGAGGAAGGAGAAAACACTGATCAGGATATTTTGTAGTAGTGAGTTTGTGATTGCCTACCAGCTTTGCCTTTTGGGAGGAGTATTTATACCTTAGAAGCTCATGATTGCTGTCAGTGTGGTCAGCAGGTGATCATCAGGCACAGGTAACGTGTGTATTGATTTGATGAAGAATGTCTTCTCTAATTGATTGCTCGGGGTCCCGAGCAATCAATTCTGAGCCGTCGGGACGCCGACGGTACAATATGATCCTTTCGGGAAGGATGCAATAAATGCTCTGTAATAGGAGCATTTATTGCCTTTCATATCCGAACCTTACCGCATTGAATGCGGTCTCGTCAACAGAAGGGTGCAATTAATTTGTTTGCTTTCCCAAGTCGCGTGTCAGCGACGGCATGCGGTTTGTCTGCTTCTGATGTGACATTATTTGCCACGCGTCCATCCCTTATTGGCTGTGACGTCGGTATTCCAGCGTGTTCTGACATTACTTGTGTTAAGACGAGGTTATGATGAATAGTCTAGACTGGCATAGGCTGATGTCCCGTACGTCAGTAGCTTTATCCGGGAGTAGAGGAAGCGTCCAGGATGGAGTAACCCTCGGCACCGAGGAAAGACTCACCCCTGGGGACCGAGGGCGGTATGTTTCCGAGCTACTCGGTGACCGAGGACACGTGTTGTTTGTACAAACGTACCGAATATGTGATCCTATATGAGAGGTACCTCGGGGGAGAGGACGCCTTGCCGATGGTGCTTGAACCCGAGCAACATTGTTCTAGCACCCCGAGGACACGTGTCTTCATCATAGGGCTTTTCAGAAGAGTCCCATCAACTGCCCCCCAGCCTTCGATCTTCTGACGCCGAGGACACGCGTTGTCAGGAGACGAAGGGTTTTCCAACTGCCATCCGTCCTTCATTATGGCCTCGAGCAGCTTTCCCCGGCTTGGGATGTCGTGCGCATTAAATGCGCTGTTTTGGTTCTCCCGCCCAATGATGACAGTTTCCCCCCTATATAAAGGGGGTTCTTCTCTGGTTTCCATCGTTTTGCCATTCCGATCTCTGACCCAGAATACGCCTTTTCTGATCTGCTCGCCGGAGTTTTTGTTTCCTCAGCCATCGTCGACAGCATCTTCTCTTAAAATCACAGCCAGTAAACCCATTGTTGACTCCTGGTCCTTCCGGTGCGAGTCATTTTAAAGTTTTTCCTGAAAAACTCCGTTTTCGACGTTTTCTGGTGAGTTTCACAACCTTCTTCTTTATCGTCCTCCTAGCCTTCTTGTTTTCCGATTGAACGGTGGTGTCATCCGGTCGGTACGTCTTGATTTAAACCCTCGGGGAACTTCCTCAGGTTTTCAAGAGAGAACACCTTTTCCTTCCCTTTCTTTTAGAGATGCCTCGTCGTCGCCCTGCTCCCGAGAATCCATCGGCTGGTCCCTCGGGGTCAGGGAAATACAAGGTGACAGGCGAGGCGCAGATCGATAGGTTCAGGGCTAAGTATGGCATCCCCCCGAGCGTGGACGTAGTGGGTTTTAACCCTTTGTTGAACTCTCCTACCTTCGGGGCCGCGGATGCCATGCCTTTCTATACCAAGGCCATCATAGAGGGTGGAATTAGGTTTCCTTTACCCCCCCTGCTTCTTCAGTTCCTGTCTCGCTTCCGTCTCTTCCCCGGGCAATGCTGCCTCAACGTCTTTCGAATAATTATGGGGGTCCTAGAGCTCAATAGGCGCCTCGGGGTGAATATTGGGCTCAATGATCTCCTTTTCTGTTACTCCCTCCTAAGAGTCATGCCCCACCAACATTTCTACCTCAAAGCCAGGGACCCCTCCATGTACCTTGTAACCCATCTTCCTGACTCGGACAAGGGGTACAAGGACGACATCTTGATCTTCAAGGGATGTTGGGAGAGGGGTGTTGGTCCCGAGTACAATGACTTATTTTGCCCTCGGGAATGGAGAACGACAAGTACGTCGGTTCCTTCGGGTTCTTTATTTGTTTCTTGGGACTTCTCATGTTTATGACAATCTTTTTTGTTGTGCAGATATTCCTTCTCGGGAAACAGCTCCACCCCCTCGGTCGCTGGTCAACTTTGCCGACCTAGTAACGGTTTGGAGTTTCACGGGCGCCGACGGATTTGGCCGAGCTGCCCATAATCTGCTGCACTATACCCCCGGGTATAAGAAGTTCTCACAGCTCCCTCAACCTTTCGAGCCTTCGCAGTGGTCAGAGCTCTTTGATCAGGCGGCGAGGCTAGAGGTCGAGCAGAACTTGGAGGAAGACCCGGATCGGGCTTCAGAGGGAGAGGTAGAGGGAGTTGCTGAGGAGGTCGGGGTCAGAGAGGACGTTGCTCCTTCGGACGCCGAGGTGGGGACTTCGGGAGGCGACTTGTGGCCCGATTTTCAAATTCTCCAATCTTTGGACGCCGAAGACGCTCTCGAGGAAGCGATGTCCAACGCCCCTCGCATTAATTT